TCTGCAGGAGCCTCGCGGCGGCTCTGCCTCACACTGCGCCAGGCGCTCTTTTATTTTTGTAATACAAGGTTTCCGAGCCTTCCCTGTGTCCTGTCCTGTGTTCCCAGGGTGTCTGGGGAGGTGGGAGGAATGGTCAGGCCCCCTCTTGCTGCCCCAGTTGCTGTGGAAAGAGCCTCTGTCCATGCAGGATCAAGGAATTATTCCTGGGTGTTTGCGAGTAATGTTATGACTGAGGTGGTGAGGGAAGGGAGGGAAAGGAGGGAAGGGAGGGAAGAAGGCAGCCCACCCCTCTTTTCAGAGGGGTCCTGCAGGCCACAAGGGTCAGAGGTGACAGAGGTGCAGCCCCCAGACCTAAAACATTCTCTCTTCATGCCCCTCTCCCCCGTGAGATCAGACCAGAAGCGCCTGCCCCTCATGGGACCCCCGAGTCTTTGGGGAGCAAACCCAGGATTTCAAATTGCACCCCAGTGTTACCCTGTGAGCTGCCCAGCCCAGCTCAGCTGTAACCTCACACCAGCTTCCACACAGAGCCCAGACCACCCCCATCACACCCGGATCCCCCAGGGTTGGATCCAGCCCTTGGCCCTGCTCAGGGCTCTCTCAGTCCCCCTCCACATCAGAGACCATCGTGCCCTGTCTCTCCTCAGTGGCTCTGCCAGGGGCAGGAGGGGCATCAGCACTGGGCTGGCTGGTTTGGACCCACCCCATGTCCAATTTTTGGATAGCACAGTCCACACAAATTAATGAGCCCAGCAAGCCCTGCCAGGCAGGAGAGCCAAACGCAGGAAAACCAGGGAAAGTGGGTGAGTCTGGTTTTAATTATTTACCTCCTTCCTCCACCCACGGGTTTGTAAGATCAGATTGAAAGAATAAGTGTTTAGGAACCCCGTGTCTTTCAAATTCTACAGAAATCTGGCTTTGCAGAGCCCCCACAGCAGAGCAACAGCCTGTGACAGCCCCTTGCCAGCACTGACTGATACCATCAGCTGCACCCAGCACGTCCTGTCTGGGAGAACCCAGACACAGCCATGGAAACAGGAGATAAGGATGGAAGAGGGAGAGAGACAGGGAATGGTTAGTCCACAGGAGGAAGGGATGGCACATCCAGGGATGTGTTGTTAACCCAGGTCTCCGGGGTGCTCCCCCCTCAGCACAGCCCTTCTGGGGCTCTGGGGGTGCACCCACAGCCAGGCAGCTCCTCCAGGGCAGGGAGGTGTCACACAGCCCCAGTGGAGACGTCACACAGCCCCTGTCACACCTGGTTTTGGGGACAATACCTGCTGGATGGCCCCAGGAGCCCGATGTGGGATGAATTATTTCTCTTTTTTTACTTAAGGGCTTTTAAAAGGGCTCCTGGGTGGGATTCGCACCACCAGCACAGCAGGGACTGTGCACAGACCCTGGCAGGGCTCTGAGGGGGTTTTGGCCTCACCAAGAGCTTTAACTGTCCCCACCACACCGATGCTGCCGACTGCTCCTCACACCAACACGCAGGGGGCAGGTTTACACCCCAAAAGAAGCCCCCTCCGAGCAGCCCCGCCGTGCTCATGGTCCCGGAGCAGAGCGAGTCTCGTGATGCCGCTGGGTTGTGGCCCCTTCCTCGGCCCCTTCCTTCCTAAGCCGGCTCAGAAAATGAAAGCAGAGCCCTCTGTTCCGCTTCCTGCCTCTCTCCGGCCTCACTTCCCCATTCCCTCACCCCACAGGCCGCTGCCCCTTCCCCATTCCCTCACCCCACAGGCCGCTGCCCCTTCCCCATTCCCTCATCCCACAGGCCGCTGCCCCTCCGCTGCTCAGCAGGACCAGCAGCATTTCCAACCACGCCGGCTGACTTCAGTGAGGTAGAACATCCAGACAGAACAATAATAACGTTCCCTTTCTCTCCATCCCTCCCCCCCCAAGTGAAATTCGGTATTTTGTCTAAAGGCCATTCTCCACCTGCCCCTCGCACACTCAGGGAGGAGCAGGAGCAGGAGGTGTGAGGTCTCCAGCTGCTGTGGGATCACGGGCTGATTTTGGGAGCAGGAATCAACACCCAGGTGATACAGTCACCAAAACAGGCTGCAGCAACCTGGCCAACATCACAGCCCAGGGCAGGGAAATGACTCTGATGAGCATCAGATTCCCACAGGGACAGAGACGCTGGATACAGCCCCATCCCAGGGAATGAGCTGATGGCAGCTCCTGCTTCCCGAGGGACATGCCCACAGGGAAACCCCAGTGGTAACACACTTGGGGAGATGCTTTAAGCACCTCAAGCTTCTCTTATCTCTGACACATTCCAGAGGTGCAATTGCCCAAATGACTGCGCAGATTTCCTTGGAGGGATCAGAAGCAGCACTACGGAAACTCCAGCTTAAACCGTCTCCAACTGTGAGGTTTTGGCAAGACAAATAAAAAAAAAAGGCAAAAAAAAAGCAAAAAAAAAAAGCCCAGAACATTGTTCCTTTGTCTCTAAAGTTTAGCTAAAATCCAGCTGATTTTATGATGAGAGCAGAACCCTCCTTTCCAAATCCCCCCCCAGCAAACCTCTGGATAACACTCACAGAAACTGTTTCTGAGCAGACACAGTGATGTCTCACTGCACATTCTCCCTTGAAATCTCCAAGCACAAGGTCCATGTTTTCTCCTTTCAGTCTCCCTTGACCAGCAGTTCAATCTGCAGGGAGGGAGTTCCCAGGATTTGGGATGTTCAGACTCCATAGCTGGGGTAAGATTTAACAACCTAAACACCCATGAAGAGAAGAAGGACCACGAGTTCTCAGCTTATACAGCTGCCCATCATCAGGACAGCTTTTCATTTGGAATGTCCAGGTTGCCAGAAGGCCCAGGAGTGTTGGGTGGTGTGGAGCATCCTGCACTGCCTGGGTGAGGCTGAGCAGCAGCACCAACGCCAGCCTGGGACAAAGATGGGTCAGAGCAATGGAATCAAGGAATATCCTGAGCTGGAAGGGACCCCCAAGAACCATCCAGTCCAACCCCTGGCCCTGCACAGACACCCCAACAATCCCACCCTGTCCCTCAGAGCGTTGTCCAAACCCTCCTGGAGCTCTGGTAGCCTTGGTGCCCTGGGGAGCCTGGTCAGTGCCCAACCAGCCTCTGGGGGAAGAACCTTTCCCTGAGATCTCTGATCCCTGCACTTCCCCTCAGATCTGGGCTTGCCACCTAAGAAATCAACGTCTGATGAGCAACAAATTACCTTTGTTTGTATCCCACACACCACAACCTTCTTTTGTGCTTCCACGTGAGCACGAGGCTTCCACCCCACACCTGCCTCCGAGCTCAGGGAAGGACATTTTCCAGAGCACAAGAATTCCAGCCAACAGGTTCATGTAATAAAAGCTGTTTGGGGGGGGGGGGAAATCAGTAAGAATCCATATAAATCCATATACATCCATATCATCCAGATGTCCAGCTCTGGATGAGACCCAGAGCACCAGGCAGGGATCAGCAGCAGAACCAGTGACATGAGAGAGGATCGTGCCAGCATTTCCTGGATATAATATATTGCAACACACCCCCACCCCGCCAATATTATTAAATCCAGAAGTCATTGTTCCTGGTTTAGACTTTCCTATCCCAACACAGAGAGCCCCAGCAGTGCAGCACAGGCAACCTCTGCAGAGAGTTTAAATTTCATTTGCCTCAGAAGTGGATTTAGAGAGGAAACTCACCTAAAGTCCTTCCCTTGGGCAACACAAGGCATGTAACACAAATTACAAGAAATAAAAAGGCAATTGAGGGGTTTTGCTGCGTTTCTTTTGTGCTTTAGTCAGTGTTTTGGGGCTGATCATTTCTACCTTTGAGGCTCCAGGTATTTTTTTCTCCCAGTCCCTGCTCAACCACCACATGACAGCTGGGATTCTTGGGGTGTCCTGTGCAGGGCCTTGATGATCCCAGTGGGTCCCGTCCAGCTCAGGAGATTCTGTGGTTCTATGGGAAAGATTCCAGTCAGGAATGCACACTCTGTATCCATGGAAAGCAGAATTACTGTGGAGCTACTTACTTTTGAGAGGAGTGAGCAGGATGGGAGTCCAGGAGAAAACAGATCATCAGACAAGGCTGAGATGTGAATCCCATGTTCACAAAGCAAATATCACCAGTGAACACCCCAAGTGGAAGAGAGAAGGAAGGCATCAGCCTTGGGAAGAACCTGCTCAAGGGAAGGTAATGAAGAATTCCCAAGTCCCTCCTTCAGCAAAGGCAGGATTGGTGGGTTCTGACACACAAGGAGGGTGTCAGGAGGCAGCGGGAGGTGGTTTATTCTGGTTCCATGAGACATTTTTCTTCTGGGATGACTCCACTTGATGGTTCTCATCTGTCCTGGCACAGCCCCAAGCCCCACACACGTGCTTGGCTCATGTGCAGGGTTTCTATTGCATCAGCTGGTCAACCCCTTAATCCTGATTTGTTCACATTTTACAGGGACAAACATTTCAGTATTTAATTGACAACAACTCTGGCCTGGGAAAAGGATTAGACACAGGCTGTGGTCAGGACTGGGGAGGTCAGTTCCTCAAGGGACCCTGGTGACACTCAAACACTGCTCAAGTGATGGTGACACTGAAGGGGAAGAGCTGCTTAAACAGGAAAAATGAGCCTTTATAGCAGCACTATTTCTGTCCTTCCCTAAGATAGCGAGCTGGAAAAAAACAGAGCCTGAAAATATTTGGAGACGTGGTTCCCCATTCTCTTGCCCTACTCAGGGACAGCAAAGCTTCTCCTGTCCCAAACCACTGGTACAGTCAATGCAAGACCATCCAGATTCCTCAGGGACAGCCCTGGGGAGGACACACACTCACCTGACCCAAGAGGCAACACCACAAACAGGACACTTCTCCATCTGTCCCAAGGGAGAAACTCCAGAACGGAAAAACTTCCTCCTTCATTTAAGGTCCTTGGTGGGAAGGAGAAACAGTTGATGGCTTTATTGACTTATCTTGAGGCACCACTTCCACAGAATTAAGAGGTGCTGGATTGCAACCACCACCACCACCACAGGCTTTCATATAAATGATAATTTTATTGTAAATAAAACGATACATTGGCCTGGCTTTGCACTGCAAGCCCCCGGTCGGAATATAGAGACTACTGGGTCAAGGTCTTCTGCACAATCCAGGTTAAAGCCATTTCTCCCTGCTCTGCACCGTTTGTGGCGAGGATAAAATCCTCTCCTTCACCTCTGAACTGCCCCTGGCACAGCTGCCTTTGCCAGCTGGGCAGTTCAGAGCTGCCCAGTGAGATCTGCTCCTAAACAAGGCTGGGTTTAAACACCTGAAGCCCAAACACCATTAAAACACAGAGGACATATCTTTTTTTTTTTCCCTGAAAATTAAAGCCTGACTGACTCCCAGCTCCAAGGGCAGGTGCCAAGGTGGCAGATCAACCCTCTCCATCCAGCTCCAGGTGAGCCCCAGTCCCTGGGACCTCACTCAGCTCCCCTTTGCCCACCCAAACCTACGTTTACAACAGGAATGTTGGTTTTTATGGGGCAAGTTATCCCAGCTCTGGGCACTTGGAAATAACATGTGTCACCTGAGCAGGTACCAGTTTCCCTCCTGGGCAATTTGTGTTGGTAATTAATGGCAGCAGGAGCTGTTTGGAGCATCAAGTCCTTTGGAATATTACTCCAGAAATAAAGTAAATCCAAATTGCTGCAACCTACTGCCACTAGAATGGGCAAAGCTCAGATCTTCTGGAGAGCAAGCAAATAACCTGGAATGCACAGAATCGTCACACCAAGCCCAAAATGCCTCCAGTTTGTTTCCTAACAAACTCAGGGACAACCAAATCCCCCAAGTTCCTCTCTGATGGGAATCTCAGACATTTTTCTGCCCAGTTTCAACCGTTTCAGGATACTGGGACTCTGACAAATTCTTTGTCAAAGAGAATATCCCCCATTTCTGCAGCACCTTCCATCAAGGATCCCAATACTCAATATTCCCTATATTCTCAATATTCCATCAAGGATCCTAATACTCAATATTCCCTCCCTGGAAGGAACAGCAGGAAACTCCACGTGACATTTGGACTGGACAAAATAGCTTATTGTCAGCCTGGCACTCCTCCTCCACCCTCCCCTGAATGAGTTTATTCCCAGTTTTTCCCAATTCTGCCGGCATAAAGAGGCCAGATGTAATTCAATTTTGAGGCATAATTACATTCATGTCCACTTGAAACTCTTTTGCTGCCAGGGCTGTTAAGAGCCCACGGGATCAATATCAGCCCCAAGTTATTCACCGGAGCAGTGGACTCAGGAATCCAGATCTTCCTTTTCCAGAGGGCTGTGAGGAAACAAAGAAGCATTTTGGGCTTGGCTCTACTCGTTATAAACCATCAGCAAATTCTCTGCAAAACCAGCTGCTTTTTTTTCCTTTTTAAATTCGTAAAGGCGTCAAATTTATTTCCCCTCCTCCTCCCGCCCCCTCCCCCCCGTTAACAGTCGATATATATAAAAATCATCAAATATGATCTTTTACGATATAAATAAAAAAAAAAAAGTATGAGGCATCACTGTTTACATGATGTAAAAAGAGCTAAAAAAGAGCGATATAAACTACATTCATAAAAGTGCATCTCCAAACAGACAGGTAATGCTTTGGCTTGTTCCTGTGCCGAACGGGCGGCGCTGGGCCGGGGGCTGCAACACACAAGTCCAAGCTGGCACCCCATGTTCTCTGTCACTGTACAGCTATTTAATTCCATGACTACAGGCTGGAATACAGGTGGATACACAGAGTAGGCACATCTCAGCATAGGGAAGGGCCAGGATTGAGCCCATCAGTCCCTGGGGCTCTTTGCTCTGCTCTGGAACAGCCTCCCGTGACGCGGATGAGGTAAAAGCCACAACGGGTCCTGAGGATTGAGTTGCTTTGAAACGTTAAAAGTGACACCATTTCCTCATGCCCTGTTCTCTCCCAGAACGCAGCGTGTGGGATAACAAGGAAAAATCACGGGAGAAGGTCTCAATTTGGTGAGGACAAGCCAAGGAGAGAGAGAAACCCCCGCAGCCGTCACCGTGCTCCCCATGGCTGCAGGGTGAAGGGTGGTGAGTAAAGATCCCAATCTTTGGTATATTTAGGTGCTGGCTGCAAGGCCTGAGAGTGATGCTGGGCCCCTCAGGAGTGCTGATCCCCCTAATCCTGTCACCCAGACTCCAGGGGTGACCTCACATTCCCCAGCAAAGTGCTGTGAAAGGCTCCCCAACCCGAGCAGTAGCGTCACGCCCTCGCTTCCCCTCAGTGCAACAGTGAAGTGCAGGCCAGGACTCAGGCCAAGGGCCTCGGCAACCTGGAGTCAGGTTCCAGGCTGGGAAAAGATCAATAGAAGTGCTCTCACTAGAAGTAAATAAGTTATGGACCCAGGGCTTTCAGGAAAGGCATCTCCTGAGTGCCTGCAAGCAGAACAGTGCATCCTCGTCGCAGTGCGGGGCGAAACCAGCTCTCACTGGTCGTACATCGCTCTGGGTTTGGCACAGCAAAAACACCTCAGATTGTTAAATCCTTTCAGGACTTTTGGTTGGTTGGGGGTTTTTAGAGTTCTTTTTTTCCTTTTTTTTAAATTTAACACAATATTTATCATGTGTTCAAGGAGCTTGGTTTCATTAAAAGTTGCCTTATCCTGCCATTAGCATTCACTTAAAAATTTAATTTTACTGCATTATGAAGCAATTTTCAAGTTTTTATGGGGGAGAAGAGTGGAGGTGTGTGGAGCCTTAATAGGGTTTCCAATACAAGAGCAGAACACCTTTAGTGTTGCCTTATAGAGTAACATTTTAGCTAATTAACATTTGCTTTTCTTAGTTTCATTTCTCAGAGATAACTTATAATTACTCCATGAATCCTCAGCACTTAAAAACTGATGGTCTTTTACGAGTGAAACACAGATTATTAGTGCCTAAACCAACACAGAGGGTCTGAGGCCACCAGGAACTCAAGTTCTCAGACCTGTGGTACCTTTCAAAAGCAAAATCACTTGGATATGTTTTGCTGGCACCTGTGTGGGGATCTCCAGGTAATTTTAGATATTTGCTACCATTTTGAATGTTCTCTCTGGTTCCTTGTTTGACTTAACTCCTAAAAAGCTTATTTAAATTGGGCATTTTATGGAAGTCTTAAATAACCACTTGCATACCTATAAAACAAACCACACTGAAGGGTTGAGATTGATTCCAACTTCCTGTGCCCAAGGAAAACAAGTGTCCAGATAATTTACCCATGAAAAACTCGATTTTCCATTAGCCAGGTGCTCAAAGAAATGCTGAAGGAAATTCCTGGGCACCAGATGGACTATCTTTGGTTTAAAGGATGGCAAAATGTTACCAGCCAAAAATGCAGCAGGAAGTTGTTCTGCAGAACTCCCTCCCAGAGGGGTTTTGTTTGGACCCAGCAGCCCCAGAGAGGGAAGCAGGAGCACGGATTTGTTGGCTATGAGGACACAAAGTGACACTGCCTTAATGCTGGGGCAGATCAAACCTTGGAAGTCAAGCTCTAGATTTTCCAACGTCAGTGGGAGAGTCCTTCCCTCAGGCCCTGGAGCGACTGCATTCTGCTGAAACTCTTCTGATTATCCTGACATTTGGCTAGAAAGACCTCCCTCACCCCCACCCCAAAATCCATGGGCTCATTATAAAATAACACTATTCACATACTTTTGAATCAATATTTTCTGAACACCTTCAGATGCTGAATACTTAAGAAGAAAAATATATCATACTATAGCGAGCGCATGCTCCATGACACATGGCTTTGGGCTGGATTCAGGGACTGGAGATGCCTCCGGAGCCCCTGGCTGGAAACCAGGCACCCACACAGACAGAGCTGGTCTGGAGGCTGTTGCATGTTTCTGTTCTGAAGAGTGGAGCTCTCCCAGTTCCCACCTGGCTTCAGATTTCTTCACGTTCAACCAGTGGATCCAACTTGTTGGATTCCCGTTCCCGGGCCTGCAGAAAACATGCAGCCAGCTGCAAGGGCACATCCAGGTATCTCGGGGCAAAAATCCAGCCGTTTGGCAGGATGAACATCAGTCCAGCAAACTAAGGAATCAGGCACGAGAGCAGACCCCAAGTTCCTTGGCATAACTTCCCCAAAGGACTAGGCCAGCTGAGTTGGCATTTTGAAGATGCAGCACCACAACGGGCAGTTGCAACGAGACCAGACGGGGCACGGAAAGCCCAGCAGGAGCTGCGAGCAAGGGAGGTAATTCAGTACTGGAGCTGTGCAAACTGGTGTCTGAGCAGCTCTTCAGCAGAGGGTCTGTGCCTGGCTTCCACAAAGATCTGCTTTAGGAAGTCCCGGCAATGTTCTGATATGTGGGAGGGGAGCTGGGGGTTGGTTGGCTGGGTGGCAATTTTGAAGATCGCGGCCATGGCTTCGTACTCTGCCCAGGGGGGCTTCTCTGTCAGCATTTCCACCACGGTGCAGCCCAGGCTCCTGGGAAAGCAGGCAGGAAAAACACAAGTGAGGATGGACTCAAGAAAGCACAGTGTTCAGGGAGAGCTTCCAAGCAGCCAACAGCAAGGTGCAGCTCTGGGAACGGCTCTAAAATGGGTTTGTGCTCAGCAAACCCCACGTGTGCTCCAGCTCAGAGCCAGAGCTGCCAGCACTGCTGCTTTCCCTGCTGCCAGGAGAGCAGGGAAGTGCTGAGCCAGGGGGGCTGGTCCCACTGTAGCTCTGGGAAGTGCCATCTGTCCTGCTCCCCTTCGCTCAAAGTCTCCTCTCAGGAAACATTTGTGTTAACAGGGGACAGGACGTACACGTGAGGTGTCCCTGAAGGCACCATCCGACCTCAGTTCTTCAGGTGCTGCTGCTACTGTTGTAACTCAAAGGCACTTACAGTCACAGGATGCCTTGGGTTGGAAGGGACCTTTGAGATCACCTTGTTCCAAGCCCTTGCCATGGGCAGGGACACCCTCCACTAGATCAGGTTGCTCAGGTGCTTGACTTGCTGAGTTGCAAGGTAGAAAACAGACTTTTTAACCAAGGTCCAGTGAATCACAGCTCACTGACCCCACAAAGCCATTTCAGCAAAATCCCTTCTCAGTCACAACCTTGGAATGCCCACGTGGGGAAAAAACCAACCTAATAACACCTCCACAAGAAACCAAGCATCAGTCAAAAAATAATTAAAGTCGTAACAGCTCCAAACTGGGAAGGCAGTAAGTTAAATCCCAGTGGGACAGACGCATCATTACCTTAAGGAAAAATTCCTTGTAAAGTTAATGGGGCTCTGCAGGGTTCTTCAAGGCAAGAACATGATTCTGGGGACATGGCTGAGCCACCTTTCTGAGGCAAACGTGACACCAATACCTTCCCAGGGAAGATGGTTCTGCAGCACTGCAGTGATTGGGTTTTATTCCAAAAGGATTAATTGCTTCCTCCAGGCCATAGATTAAGCAAAAGCAGTCAGTGAACTTTTAGTATCCAGTCCTGTGTTTTTATCACATCTTTCCATTAAGAAGGCAAAACTGCCTCCCCTACCTTTAAACTAAACCCTCTTTTGAGGTGAAAACCAAGGAAAAGACATTTTCAGAGGCAGACTTGCATCAACTGCCAAGACAAGGAAGGAAAGGAATTAAATTCAGTGAATATGCAAGAACTGATTTCTTGACAAGATCTAAAATCCAACGTGAAAATTTTACAGTTTTCCAGCCATTTCAGACTTACTAGAGGAGAGTACAGAAAATGCAAACCATGTGTGCTGAAGTGCTGGGGGTTTGCTCAAAAGCAAGCAGGGATGTGTTATTGTTTAGACTGATTTATACCATTTAAGCAGATCCGGTTTCTTTAAGATATTCAGCAAACAGCAGGAATGTTTTTCATGTCAAGTCACTCCAGCAATAACAAATAGCTCACATATTCTGCTATTTAGGAAAAAGAAAATTGGAGAGGGGCCTGCAGCAGTGGCTCAGAGCCAGGTGGATGGATCTGTTACGTTTCTGAGCCCCTCGGCCGTACACATCCACCCTGGGACCAACTGCTCTGGAAAATTCTGACCCCCCTAAATAATGGTTGGGATTGTAGGAACTGGAGCCCGGCCAACGGCAGCGACTCTTTGATGGGAATGGACCAATGTCAGCAGCAAGAGGAAATCCACAACTGCATCAGCCCAGGGGGAAGGGCACGTGCTCCAATCTCTCCCCAAGCATCCCAACTGGGGGAGTCTGCAGAGCTTAACTCTTTCCACATGAGACATTTCAGCTGCATTTCCACTCCCTGCTTGTTCAGGGAACAGGCCTTTCTTTACTGTGGAGGCACAAACAGACCTTTTGTTGCTGTTGTTCAGTTTAGTTTTATAATCTCACCTTTTTAAGGCCTCCAAACTCAACGTTTTGGCACAGGACCATTTTGGTCTTTTGATAGAGGCTGTTCTTGGCTGTGCCAATAACAGCATAGCCACAGTTTCCATTCATGCAGGTCATCTCTGATCTGATCTGGATCTTTTGTGTTATTCCAGGTTTGGGCATCTTTTCTTTTAAGCTCAAATTCTATTCATTTCCAGTACTTTTTAAGCATAACTCATTTTATAACTAAATGAATGGGCTCTCCCTAAACAACCTTCAGCTGCTCTTCTAAGGGATATCACAGAATATCCTACACTGGAAGAGACCCACAAGGATCATTAACCCAACTCCTGGCCCTGCACAAGACACCCCAAGAATCCCACCCAAGAGCATAAGAAGGATGACAACGTTGCACCAGTCAGAGAGCAAAAAACCAGCTACCAGTTCAAGGGAGGAATGAGTGGAAACTGCTCCTGAAAAACTAAAACTGTTCCTAAAACACTAAACGAGTAGCTGGGCGCTGACACTGCAAAGCACAGCCTGCAGCAGGTCATGCCTTGAGTTCAACCCAACGACTTCACTTTGCCTTCGACTTCTCATCCAGACAACACGTGAGTTTGGATTTATGGATGGCAGGATGTATCTTGTCTGGCTCCAGATCGAGCGAGCTATGGGCAGAAAGTTAAAGGCTCACCAAACGTCCGCTTTCCTCCCGTAGCCTTCCCCGCTGATCACCTCGGGGCTCATCCAGTACGGAGTGCCCGTGACGGAGCGGATGCCTGTCCCAGACATACAGATTGTCTGCAGCCGTTTGCTGGCCCCAAAGTCCCCGAGCTTCACGTTCCCAGCAGAGTCACGGAGAATATTGGCTCCTGCACAAAAACAAAACCCGAGGACAGCTGTTTCCACGCGGTCCAGCCGCTGGATCCGCGGCTCCGGAGCCGATGTCCAACCCCAAACCCCCGTGCTCACGGTATGGCTCCTTCCCCATTAAGCCTCAGGTGACCTGCTAAACACCATTGCTTTGATTCAGGCTGTAGACAAGCCAATTGCTAATGGTTGTAAATGGGAAAAACTTCAGGGAAAAACACAAGGAAGTGAAGGGGGGAGGGAAATGAAAGCTGAGTCAGCACCAGCATTGTTACAGTGCCTGTAAACAGCTCAGCCAGCCTTGCAGGGCCCCCAGGCCACAGGCTGAGAGAACAGAGCTGTGGAGAGAAGGATTTTATTGGGATGCTGCTTTGGTGACTGCAAGCATTGCTTTCTGGTCAGCTGGGTAACAGATGTAGCCAATTAAACCACTTTGAACTCCTACAATAAACAAGTCAATCTTCACTTTACTTGGTCAGAGGTCCTGAGCATGAAGCACCAGGGAAAAAAAGAAAACTTTAGAGCTTAGTTTGTATGTGGACACAAACTGAGGCTTAGACACCAAAACCAATTCTTCCTCCAAAGGTACTCTGAGATCAAGAACCCCATGTTGGCATTATCTGGTGTGTGCCTACACAAAATCCCCCTGCTCTCAAACCAGCACTTGTGCTGGGAGAGTTTTATCACTTCACTTGCCCACAGGAAGAGCTGAGTCCAGAATGCCAAGTCTGTCCATTCATCCCTGAAGGAAAGGTTAACAGGCTGGCTCAGGTGGGTGCAAACCAGTGAATAACCCACCAGGTAGGAGATAATTTGGCAAAGAGCCCCAAGTGAGCAGCCCATAAGGTGTTATTCAAGGATCAGTAGCTCGTTTCTCTTTGCCAGCTTAGAGGGGATGCAATGAAGATTTATAGGCAGGAACAAGGGGTAGTTTTCCTGCAGCCACCAACCCTCTTGGTCCCTCTAGGGCACAGAAAAGTCTGTGTGGTGTCTGCCACATCTGCTGACAGTAATTTCTAAGGAGACTGGCTGGCTCTATGGGGTTATACTGGGAAGAGGAAGATTAAGAACTAATCAGAGGCTCTCTGTGGAAGACTGGAGGTTTCTCACACAGAGGAGGCAGGAGAGCCACAAGGGCCTGAGGTCAGCAGGACTGCCAGGAGCAGGCATGGAGCCCTTACGGCAACTGGAATGTCAGCCACCTGAGAAACAGCACTGTGGCCAAGCTGGGAGGAAATCAGAGGGGAATCCACAGTGAAAATAATCAGTGAAAGTCAGGTGTCAACTCAGCTTGGCCTTGCCAGAGTGTGAGAGGAAGATGAGGAGTGTTCCTAAGAACTAGAGGCTTCCAGACTTCCTTACTATAACCAACTTCCTTCATGTCCTGTAGAGAGAACACCCCAACTTCCCTTACCCAGCCAAGAACACGACCTTCCCTAAGTCCTGCACGTGGACATAAGACCAAAACGGGATAACTGAGCAAAGCAACGTTCAGAAGCCCCAGCCAGGATACCGAGTTCTTAACACCTGGTCTCTTTACAGAGTTTCTTTGGCACGTGGTACATCTAAACCAGCAGCTGATCTCACCCTTTATGTCCCTGTGCACAATCATGTTGCTGTGAAGGTACGAGACTCCCTCGAGGATCTGCCGAGTGTATTTCCGGGTGACGTTTTCCGTGAGGGCTCCGTACGCCTTCAGCTGGTCCTTCACTGACCCCTGCACCAACAGCAAACACAAAACGTTGGCAAAGAAATGACAGACCACAGATCCTGCAGTCTCCACTCGATTCCCACGAGCCATGACTGTGTTATACACCCAACCAGCCCAGTAATGAATTCTGGCCTCTTCTAAAGCCTTCCCATGAGGCTCTCTGAGCATCTTGCCCTAAGGAGCCCTTTTGAAGAACGGCAAGGACAGGCTTCATGGCAAAAATAGCTTAAGGAGGTTCTGTCTGCTTCCTCCCTGCTGGTACAACTGGTTGTGAAGACAAGCAATAAAATAGTTCAGCAGACTGATCCAGGTCAAAACTCTCCCTTTTTGCAGGGTCAGTTTTAGCCTCATTTGCTGGATCATGACTGTAATTCAGTTGTTATGATTTACAAGCTGGTCCAAGTCCTCTAAAGTACTTTGGTAGGACAAATTTAGACTGAACAAAAGAACTGGTTTCAGTGACTAATAAAGAGAATGTATTTCAAGTACAAGACACTGAAGGAAAAAACCCAAAGAGGTTACTTGGACATAAATAAAATTAAAGTGGTAGCTTTGTAACCCAGGATGAGAAGGGGCAGCCCTAAGAGGGTCTAAGGTGGATGACATAGTCAGGGGGATCACAGCAACTAATAAACCAACTACCAAACCCACAGATCTCCCTTTGTGATCCATGACTGTGCTGCTTGGGCCAGCTCTTACCCCTGGCATGTACTCCATGAAGATGGTCAAGGTCTTCTCTGCCCGATCCCGTAAGCAGCCGTAATATTGGACAATACGCTCGTGCTGGAGATTCTTCAGCAGCTGAATTTCACACTCCAGGGCACTCACTTCCTATGGATGTTGAAGGAGAAAATAAGGCTGCAGCCCCAGGAAATAGTCCATCCTAATAAATTTGTCATGTCACTGGCAGGATGAAACTACTACTGCACTGAAAAGTCTAATCCATGGCTTTGGAAAAGGCAGAGACTACCAGTGCCTCACATGAATCCTTGCTGTGTAATCAGCAGGCAAGTATTGGTGTGGGAGCTTTGACGGAAAAAAGGCAGTATCATATATGGATTTAGTACCAGAAAAACTGTTTCTTGTCTTGATTTTCTTCACTCACAACACAGGTATAACCTCTCTTCTCACACTGAGCTGAGGGCAGGGAGTGTTAATTATTAAACAGCTCTGACTACAGTTACAGAACTGCCAGGAATCCCCCTGCAGGAATCTCAGCTCTTTAGAGAGCAAAACCAGAGGTGCTGAGAGTTCCTAAACTTCTGTCACCCAGTCCTGCCCTGATTCACACTGATGATTTTACTGGAATCAACCTTACAAAAGGTCTCCTCTCTTATTTACTTCAAGGAACCTGCAGCTCTGTACATCAAATTGATTCTTTGCTTTGCTCTTGCCACAGACAACAGGGTATCACAGCACAAAGGCAAAGAGGCTCTCCAGCAATTTCAGATGGAATCACAGATGTTTGTTGCCCAGGAAAAGTATCCAGTTCTTGCTGAATCCAGGGAATGAACAGGAGGTACATCAAATGTACTAAAGCACGAGAATTTATGGAAATAATGGTTTCCCCCAAATTAGTCCCACTTAACTCTCTCCAGCCCTGCCACTGGAAGGTGTCAGGTTCAGCTCTCTCACTCTGGGAGAGGATGCAGCTCCTCAGAGCAAGGACCTGGATGCTGTAGGGACACATGGAACCACAGGAAGCTGCTTGATCAGGCCAAGTGATAATTTAAGGTTTGGGGTTTCAGTGCCTTCAAGATATTTTCCAGCCTATTCCTCCTTGGCTCAGAGTTACTGTCTGATTTACAGCAGAGACATGGTAGAACTGAGAACTTCCCAATTTAAGACTTATCTTGGCACCAGTATCCCATATAAAATCAGAATAATTAAATCTTCACGGATCAGTTATTCCAGCTCAAAGTGAACTTGTTCAATATTGGGATACTGGTACATTGTTAAAACACAAGCAGAGAACCCAACAGCCATTCCAGCTGCACCCACTGTGCAGGCAGTTGTGTGCTATCCCTTAAGTTCAAGGTGACCCTTCCCATCTCCACTGTTTCTAATGTGTTGTCACATCCCTCTTCTTGATTAATTTACACACCACAGCTCAATTTGTTTTAAGGACAGAGAGAATTCAGAAGTGAAAACTGGTAATTAACACACTTGATACAGGGTGTACCATATAAACCCAGAAGTGGGTTTTGCAAGTGCAAGCAGCTTTTTTTGTTCAAAAAAGAAAAAAAAACTCCTACTCTTTCTGGGTTTAGTTTCATTCACATCCAAGTCTAACCAGGAACACAGGGCAGTCTAGTATTCCTCAAGTAACCTGGCAACAAACCAGAAAGCTGAGAAGGGAGAGCCAAAAATGAAGCCAGAAAATGGATTTTAGTTTCAGGCTGAAGTTAATAATACAAAAAAGTAATTTTTAAATGGCTCCTATTCTTCTCCGCATGACTCGAAACCCTAGTAGGAACTAAATATAAGATGCCAGCTTTTAAGGACAGACAGACAGAGGCATTTTGCAGGATCTGGCAGGATTTTAGAAGCTGGGATGAGGATTACCTTGCTGGTTTCAGGGCTCTCTGGATCAAACTGGACCTGTTTGGCTGCAAGTTCTCTGCCCGTGTCCACGTCGTAGCACAAGTACACGCGGCCGAAGGCGCCCTGGCCCAGCAGTTTCCCTCGTCGCCAGTTTATTGGAGCACTTGGAGCTAAAAGACATCAGTAATAATTCCTCATTTCACTACACTATTTAAAAGCCATGGTTGTCTTTTCAAGGGCCCATCTCCATCACACTGGGATTGACCCAGGTGTTTTGCAGCTGAACAAACACGAGGCGCTCTCCCGGCGTAAGGGAGTCAGTGGCAGAGCTCTGACCGGAATCCAACCATCTCAGGACCTGCTGACTGGTGTCCCATTAAAATGAAACCACAAAACATCCTGCAAATATGTACTGCAGAAAAGTTATTTGATGGGGTTGGTGAAATTTCATTCTGCCAGCAGGTGGATTCTACAAACCCACTACTTTAAGAGATGGTGTAGCACTGAAAGAGCATCTTCCAACCCTTGACCTGGAGTTATCACAGGCATCAGGTGAGGAAGAGCTGGATCAGCCTTGCTAAATCAATTCCACCCAGCTGGGAATGACTTAAACTGCTGGGACAACTTGAAGGACATTATTCTGAGGTCTTTGTCAAGGCAGCTCAAGGTTCCTTCTCCTGTGGGAAGGATTTCACTGCAAAGCTCTCTCTACAGCAGAAAAATTAAAGTCATAATTCCCTACTAGGCAGTGATAAAGTGGGGGCTGTAAGGTTAGCATAGTCTGTGCACCTTCTTCAGCTGCTCAACAACCAGATTCCAATAAAAATATACACTAGACCCAGCTAAAGCAGCCACCTCCAACACCCCAGCAGGAGGTTACATCCACAGGGAATTAGGAGTCCTCACATTCCACAGGCAGCAGTCTCCTGAGCCCAGTTTTCCAGACTGCTCTAAATCCCAAAGCATATCACTCAAAACCCCAGTGCTTCAGCTCCAACTTTGAAAGCAACACTACCAGTCTCCTGCAGTGCAATGCATCCAATTATGTTGTATCTAACAAGAAACTCTAAAAACAAAGACAGGAACCAGCCATCTGGACAGTGTGAAAATGTAGAAGAGCTGAGAGATTAGCTTTGCCATGTCTAATTTAATCAGATTTACTGCCAGTCAGTATTTTAGTGTTGCAAGCTTACTCTTCATTTTGATCCCTAAATTACTGTATGGGATATCTGAAGTTCATCAGTAATGACTTATGTTTCATTTCTTTTTTTATAATAGCAAGTTGTCCAAAAAACCAACTCAGGGATTCTATTACAACAGAAGTAAATCTTCCTACTTAAGAGCAAGTGAAATATATACAGCTCTCAACTGGTAAAAGAACTGTAACCCATAAACCTGACTACAAATGTTAATGTATCAAGAAAATAAACAAGCCTGTCTGACTGTTTTAAGAGCCCTGAAAAGATTCAATGAAGTTTTTTTTTTTTTACTTCTTAGCTGAATTTCTGAGGCTTTCTAAAGGAAAAACCAGCTCACAGTGGATTAAAAAAAAAAGAGAGAAGAAAAAGAAGACGTGTCTTGTAGGTGAGACAAGCTGGCCTCAAAACACAGCCGGGTGATGATGTGGTTCCAATGGCTTGTTAAAACCAAGTTATATGTTGGGTCTGGAGCTCCCAGCTGGGGTCAGGGAGTGAATCATAGAATCATAGAATAGATTGGGTTGGAAAAGACCTCCAAGATCATCAAGTCCAACCCCTGATCCAACTCCAATTACTATATCATGGCACTAAGGGCCACGTCCAATCTCTTTTTAAAAACCTCCAGGGATGGTGAATCCACCACCCCTCTGGGTAGGCCGTTCCAATGCCTGATAACCCTCTCTGTAAAGAATTTCTTCCTAACATCTAACCTAAACCTCCCCTGGCAGAGCCTGAGCCCATGTCCCCTTGTCCTATTGTTGGTTGCCTGGGAGAAGAGACCAACCCCCACCTGGCTATAACCTCCCTTCAGGTAGTTGAAGAGAGTGATGAGGTCGCCTCTAAGCCTTCTCTTCTCCAGACCAAACAACCCCAGCTCCCTCAGCCTCTCCCCATAGGACTTGTGCTCAAGTCCCTTCACCAGCCTCGTTGCTCTTCTCTGGACCCGCTCCAGCACCTCAATATCCTTCCTGAAAACAGTGCTCACATTTGGTGGGGATGTTCCTCTCCTGCACGCCCAGGGCGTTCTCGCTGTCGGCGCTGCGCAGGCGGCCCCGCGGGTCCAGGTACTGCAGGGCCAGGCCCAGGTTCTCCCCGTTGGTGCTCAGGGAACGACTGGAAGGGACCAAGGTGAAAAGATTCCCCTGGTGACGCCGTATCCTGGGAAACGTCCTCCGGCCTGGGGGGAGGGAATGGGAAAAATTTTAAATCAATGCTTGCAAGTGGAAGGTGATGGAGAAGAAGGGAGAGAAAAACCATGTTCTGCTCTGTTCCCACGGAGCAGAAGCTGCTGCCAAACAGACGAGATGCAAAAATATAACAGTTCAGGGCTGGTGCTGCCTGAGTTCAGTACAGCTCTGGATCACTCCCAGAGCAGAAGGCAGAGAAGACTTTGTAATGCCCTCAAGTGCTGTGGTGCAAGATCTAAACTTGCCTCCCAAACCAAAAATCTGGTTTACGGGCTACCACACAAGCTCTGAGGCTGGTTAACGACGCCTCCCAGGATGACTTTCTAGATAACGTGCCTGGACTTGGAAATAAAAACCATGAACAAAGATTATGGTGACTTGCACCTCATGAAATTTTGAGCGGTTAATTTGCATAAGGCCATGTGACGAGATGTAAGTCTTTAAGTCCCTGCTACATTTAAAAGACCCAGAAACAAGTCTGCATTGTGAATTAGCAAAGCATAATGAATCCCTGAGGTAGGAACCCGCTATATATGGCCAAGGCTAACAACTCTGTCCACTGCCCAAGCCCAGCAGTCCCTGATCAGCCTGGATATTCCCAGAAAGCACAAAGTAAACAAAGAATTACAAAGTAAACCAAGAATTACAAACAACCATAGAGTGTTTCCATGAAAACGAGGCATCACGCACAGTACCATCAACTCCAGCACTCACTGCAAGGCCCAGGGCACTTCCAGGCTCTTCAGCTGGGAATTACACTCATTCCTGGAGGTTGCCATTGCTTCACCTTGTTTTTCCAGCCTGGAATGAAAGGTCCTAGAACAACTCACCATCGTTGTAGTCCTTGTGCTGCATGGAGACGTTGTAGCGCCGAGGGTAAGTCCCACCTTTCCCTGCTTTGTCGTAGATCTGATTCTCCCGGTCTGGAGGGAGATGCAAAGACAGGAGTGAGGCCTCCTTCAAAAAGTGTAACTTATAATGACAAAACTTCCCTGTAGCAGCAGGGTTTTAGGAAGAGGTAACAAATAACTTCATAGCTTTTCAGTCAACACATCCCCAGTTGTTCTATTCGTACAATGCCAGCAACCTTTGCAGCAGTGACATACCTGAGAACTCCTGTCTATTATCAGGGAAGCTTTGTGCCCTTGACATCCGTGACTTCCGAAAAGAAGGACTAGTAAAGAAAGAAGGCAAGAATAAGTTTTGCTGCCCACCAGAGCAAAACCTACACGGGCTTTAAAAATACCAGTGATTACATTTTGCAGATTGGAAATGGTGACTCTCAAATCCACGTCCCTGCAATGATTTTATGCTCCATCTGCAAAGCTAAAGCCAGGCTAAGCCCCAGCTAACCAGACTGTTTCCCAGTGTGGGCTGTCAGCTTTTCTGTTCACTTTGAGCCATTTATTCAGTGTTTCCCCAGCCTGTGGTATAAGATTCAGTGACTCCTTCAGACATGGGAAGTGGAAGGCTAAAACCAAGGCTGAGAGGAAGAGCAGAACAGAGCAGCACTTGCAGCACACTGTTTACAGGGCAGCAGAGATTTACCACGAGGGACAAGAGTTCCTCTCATGAAAACTTGGGTGCACTTTCCTCTCTCCAGCAGCACAAGAGCCTGAACACCAACACTGCTTCCAACCCCTGTGTCTCTCCCCAGTAAGCAGTGCTCCTCCAGCAAGCCTAAGTAAGGCCCCTTGCTTGGCACAAGGTCTTTCACACCTCAAGAGATTACACAAACTCAACCTGTGCCAAAGCCATGCTACTGGCACTTGTTTTGTTAACCAGTGTAAATGGCACGGCCTCACAGAGCTTTCAGACTCCCAAACGAGACTCCTTCCCCACTGCACAAACAACAGCTTTCCCAGATGATGCCACTCCAGCAACAAATCACCAGGAAAGCTTTTTATTGCTTCCCCTTCTTCACTTAAGGCAGAGAAAGGGGAGAGGAGGACAGGTAACAAATCAGCAATGTCCTCTCAACAAATGAATCCATGCACACACCCAGTTAACTGCAAGTGTTTCCTTGTGACTCCATAAACTGGAGGAAGTGAATGGTTTCAAATCCAAACCTCAAGTGCTTGACATAAAAGCACACACTACCTACAGGAATCAGCTTGGAGGAATCCTAAAAACGTGCTGAAGCCCAGTATTACAGGTGCTGGGAAGCCACAGTTGCTATTCAAGTTAATAGAACCTCTGGCTGCCCATCAGCACCTCAAGCAACACCAACAGCAAAAAAAAAAAGGAAGAAAAAGACCCAGAGCATCAACCTATGACAAACTCTTCTTCAAAGAAAGAGCCTCCCTATTTACCTCTGGAATTAATTTTGTATCTTGCAGGACATAGCAATCTAGTGCAATGATCTATTTCTGTAACCTTAGAATAGTTTGGGGTATTTTTTTGTCATTTTATTTTTTAAGTGAACAAGTAAAGCCTTGTCTAGAAGAGGTTTAAATCCCCTGCAGCCAGATGTTCTCAGAGCGTTGGCTCCACACAGACTGCTCACTTTAGAACTCTGTATTTAAAACCTAAAGCCACTGAAGCACCAGTTTTGTTGGTCTATGGTTTTGCCAGAAAATAAAACAGCCTTAAGACACAGTTAATTCTCTTTAAGAAATATACTGGGATATAGGTAGGAAATAAGTTCTTCTTTCTCTCCAAGAAAATTTATGAGATGGAAAACAGACTTTTGCCTGGCATTTCAATCTGAGCACACACATTCCTACCAGTTTGTACATTTGTACCTGTCTGCTGACCTGTCCAAGGACTGGCAGCTTCCTGACACCGAGTTTTCAGCACTGCTTAGAGGGTCCAGCATCTGCAACACAGAAGAAATCACAAGACAACATCAGTGCAGCCCAGTGCTCAGGAGAGGTTCAGAGCAAGAGGATCAGAGCCCACTACTGCTTGTCTGGAGGAAGTCCAGCTCAGGAAGGGAGTCTAAGCCTTTTTTAAATGCACATTTTTCCCTTATCTCCCACAGAAATTGAGTTCATATCAAATCTGAGACACTGCTTTAGGTGTTGGAGGGACTCTGCTGTGGAAAATGGAAGTTTCAGTCAGCCTTGTGCTGCATTTTGATCCCAACTGCCTCCAGGAACAGTCTCTGCTGGTGCTGCTGCATTGCTGCCTCCACCTGCAAGTCGCCCTTTGGCCTCACTTCCTACTTTTTTGAATGGAGAGCAGAGTTTCAGAAGCAAGAGGGTCACCCAAACCTGGCACTAGGAAACCTGAGCACACATGTGTGACAGCCCCAAAACTGCTCAGTCAGTGGAGAGGCAATGCCCAGCACACACAGCAACTGCTTCTGGCAACCCAAAGGCTTTGAACTTACACAGCTGCAACTGGAAGCAGTTTAAATGCACAAAGCAGCACTTTTAGAATCCCAGAATGGTTTGGGTTGGAAAGGACCTCAGAGATCACTCACTTCCACCCCCTGCCATGGGCAGGGACACCTTCCACTAGATCAGGTTGCTCAGAGCTCCATCCAACCTGGATTTGAACGCTTCCAGGGATGGGGCATCCACAACCTTCTGGGCAATTTGTTCCAGCATCCTCATGGTGCTCATGCAACCACAGCTGAGAGTGAAAAGGAGGGCCCAGATCCCAGCAGAGTTCCTGGACAAGCTGGACGTGCTTTTTCCCGCCCTCCTGCTCATACTCACACACTGTTCATTGGTTTCTGGGATGAATTCCCCCTCGCTGTTGATGCTGGTGTAGGATCCCTGGCGGGCGATGCGCTGCTGCCGCTCCGGAACGTACCCCGGAGGGGGGGAACTCCTCCCTGTGTTCTGGGAGCCTGGGCCAGGGAGAAGGACATGCCTTAGATTTATGCTCCTGGAATGAGACTGCACGTGCATGGACACAAAATCTAAGTATCTCCTCTAACACCAGGCCTCCACCTCCATGAGCACAGCAGCTCTGGAGTGATCCTGACAGCCTGGACAGACATGGAACCAGGAGGGGTCATGTCAAAAACCAAACTGTTTGATGAGCACCTGTAGTGACATTTTAGACACCACATGGTTACTGGTGAAGCTCCTAACACAGCTTCTGCTCTTCCCAACCTCTCCTGCTCGACTTTCTGAGCATAATTTCAGTACCTCAGGGAAGGCAGAGGATTCCAGGAATCCCTGGCTTTTGAGCATGAACCTCATTGCCAACCTCCACTAAACAAAGCACTTGTCAGGGCAACCCATCTTCTGTCTTTATTCTAAGTTTGCATCAGTTAGTACAATTTATCCTGAGTGACAGCACATTCCTGCTAGTCAGCATCAGCTGAGCAAGTTACAGTGACACTGAGCAATTCCAGTGTCACATGGGAGCACTGTCACCTTTGGAAATAACCCCAACATTTCTGGTTTGCTGCGTGAAAAATCAAACTGTGTGGTCAGTTTGGGCAAAACCACATGGAGGTCAACTCTGCAATTCCTGTTAATTGGATAACAGGATGGACAGAGAGTGTGTTTAGGGGCCAAAGGATGAGAAAAATAGTTTAATCATCTATTAATGGCACTACCTAAAGTGTTTCTGTTGTGCTACCTACTGAGAGAAACTTTAGCCTTAGGATTTATTTTTCCTTGTAGATCTCAAAGAAGATGAAACTTTAGACACAGGAAGAAACAAACCCCCTTTTTTGCAGTGACTTATCCACCTGCAGCTCCCACTGTGAGCTCCTGGAACTGCTGTGGTCCAGTCAATCTACTTGAGGTCACCCATGAAGTCAGGAAGAGCAGCTGAGGATCAGCTCTCAAGCTGTGCTTTTTACAACACTGTCTTTAATTAACTGTGTGTACTCAGGTGCTGTGAAAGATGGGTAAAGATCAGCAAATATTCTCCCAAGGAAAATATTTTCTACTGAAGTTGTTGTAATAAAGAGTGAAGGCAAACGCTGGCAGAAGAGAACTGGAAAGCAGAGCACACACTTTTCAGAGGGCTGAAAAGCAGAGCACACACCTTTGAAAGGGATGAAAAGCAGAGCACACACCTTTGAGAGGGCTGAAAAGCAGAAAACACACATTTGAAAGGGCTGAAAAGCAGAGAACACAATTTTGAGAGGGCTGAAAAGCAGAGAACACCTTTGAGAGGGCTGAAAAGCAGAGAACACCTTTGAGAGGGCTGAAAAGCACCTCTGAGAGGGATAAAAAGCAGAGAACACCTTTGAGAGGGCTGCACAAAGAAAAACAATGCTGGCATGACTTAGGAGTGCATGGAGGGTGAACCATGTGAAAAAAAGGGATTAACAGAATCATGGAACCATTAAGGTTGGAGAAGACCTCTGAGACCACCCGAGATCACCGAGTCCCCAAGGTGCTGCTCAGAGCTTTTTCTGCTGCTCAGAGCATTTTCCCAGCAGCTCCATGGGGCTCCCGTGAGGTTCAGAGCCCAGTGGTGTGGAGACAAACCCGGGAGCTGCCGTGGGGCTGCCCCGAGGCCCGGGAGCACTTTCACTCCTTCCGACACGATCCAGGGCTGGCCCAGAGCGAGCCCAGGCCCTGCTGGCACCGGCCCAGCCGCTGTTGTGGAAAGGCCCCCAGCCCTGGGCAGGAAAAGGAAGTCGGCACTAAATCCATGTATATCAAAGGAAGTGAGTGGAAAAAACACAAGTGCTGCCAGAATGCTTAGCAACTTTTTTTTTTTTTTCCCCCCCTCCTCTTTTAAATAAAAGTTATCTTTACTTCCAAACCTCTGAACTGGTGACAGCAGGCTCGAGGCCCGTCCACTCAGGAGGACAGGAACTACATGGATCTCTGCAAAAAGCTTTTGTTGAGCACTGCTTTGGACTTTCATTGCATCATGTGGTGAGATTAGGAGAGTTTCTATGCCTGAAACACCGGGAAACAGAGCCCATTCCTTTTCCAAATCAAAGATGGGGAAAGAGAAGTAAGAAGAAATCGATGCAAGACTGAGCTGTTGCCAAATTCCCAGTAGACCTCTGACAGAACTGGAACTCTTCATAAGGAACAGTCTGGTACTTTGACATGTTCAGAAAACAAAACTAATGGTTTCTTGAGTGATGAATGACAGAGAGCATCCACAAGCTGGGATGAGAGGAGAGAGTCTGTACAACCGGGACACAGAAGGGGCCCCTTGTTACTACACAGTTTACCCATGACAGACACTCACTGGAGTCTGTTGGCTTTGGCACCATTATCTGGATACCTCAGAATGCCAGTAAAGGAGAAATATATATATATATTAATTGTTTTTGGCATTGAAATTGTCTGTGAAAAAAGAAACGTGGTGTTCAGACGTGCATGGACATCACTGCCTTCTTCACAGGACCAAGGAATGTTGCTCTTTTTTATGCACATTAACTTCAAACCAGGAAGGATGGGAAAACTCTTTTTGTCCTCGTTTCAGCCACGTACTTCACAAGCTTTCAGCACTTCTTTGTTTGTTTGCTGCTTCAGAAAAGCAAACTGTACAAAAGGGGATCAGCAGACTCCTGACAGGACACAGGCAGGTTTGTTAGACAAGCTGCACACTGAGAACTACTGGTCTAGTTCTCAAGTCCTTCCCTCTGAGCTCACTCTCCCAGTCACCTCTGGTCACAACAGAGTGGATCTGACTCTGGTTTAAACCCCCCCAACATGGAGACTGTTCTAGTTTAATCAGGTTTATTACTTTACACTTACATTGCATTGCAAATACTGATCTAAAACCCTGTAATAATTATGGCTAAAGTTTACAGAGTTAATAAAACTGAAGCAGTCCTTTGCCATGGAGAAGAACTAGCCAATAAAACAAGTCTGCCATTCCCAGCTCCTGATATTCCCATCGTGACTTGCATCACCTGTCCTCTGAAGCATTAGATATGACAAGCCCCAAAATAGCTGTTGGAACAAACAGAATCATCCTCTGCTTCTCTTTCCAGCAAAATTTACCTTTTCTCACTTGTAAAGCAGCAGCAACTTACACAGAACACCATCTTCATGCTCTCTCACCTTCCTCCTGCTCCTTCACTGCTCACTGGCCTTCACACCAAGGAGTGAAATCCTAAATCACAGACTTTTCTTTTTTTGGACCCATGTATCTTTGAAGCTGTTTCAGATGTTTTAGTTTTTGATATAAAAAGTTAACAGTTTTGAGCATCCTTCAAACACAGGTTTGAATAGTGCTGCACAGTCATAAAGAGGGTTTCAACACAGAAATTGGGAAGAATCAGACAAATCTACCAGAGACAGAAGTAAAAATTACAGGAGTCTTACATGGACCTTTCCACTAAACAGCAGTTCACTCAGCTAAGAGAAACCCAAGGGAAATGAGACAAAGGTACATAATACTCTGACTTTTCTTACTATCTTTTGTGTACCTCTGCTGTTCACCTTGTGCCCTACCCATCTGGTAATTCCAGGAGTGAAAGGTTAGGGAATTCAGTATGTAGGACACTGGTTGGACATGCAGTAGTAATTCCTTGATTCCAAGTAAAATGCTTGATTACAGGAGTCAGGAGAGATTCCAAAGCCCAACATAAAAAACCCTCATATCAAGGTTTCACGAACTGAAATTGCCAACGTAAATAAAAACCTTCATGGACTCACATCAGCTTTCCAAATTTCTAACCACAATGGATCTGGCTTTAGGACACCCCCTTTAGCAGCTCCTCAGCTCTTCAACAACTTAGTAAGGAACTGAAACATTCTACTGTAAACATACGAAGAGCTTTTGAAAATGAACTGCCCTGTCCTAGAATAACCTTTCGATTTCTCCCAGCTCTCATAAATGCCATACCATAAACATTAGTGCCCAAATGACACATTTCACCAAACAAAACCATGCAGAAGTGGCAAAAATACTCACTGACAGACAGATGCCTACTTCTGGGTTCTGGCTGCTGGTAGGGTGTGCTCACATCCCCCACAGACTGGGAAGTTTTAATCCTGACTTGTTTGGGCAGTCCAGAATGGGGTGAAGAACTGGTCTGTTGGGTAAAATGAAAAGAATAAAATAAAATGAGACTGAGGAGCTCAAGCAGCCTGGCCACAGTCCCAAAAATATCATTATGTTTAGCAGTAAGAAAGAAGCTGAGCAAAAGTTCTAGAGCCTGAAATCTTATTAACTGCAGAAAACACAAAGGCAGCCAAAGAGCAAGGTTTATAATTCTGGTGTAACAGAGGAGTCCAACAACTAGAGCAAGGCACTGTCCAGCCTCAAGGGTAGGATTTGGAAGTCTCAGTGTCTGCCTGCCATTAACAGGTACCTGTGGGACACACAGAGGGTTCATATCACCCCCAGACACCAGAAGAACCTACAATTTCCATCAGCCACCCTTGCCAGCAGAGAGAAATTCTGAATCTTGCACTCTTTTAGAAGCAACCTGACTCCCCACAACCTTCACAATTCAGACCATCTAAGTGATAATAAATTCGGGAGACTTGAGAAAACCAAGAGTTTGGAGGTGCCAAGATGAATTTATTCATCTTTCCATGAAATTCCATAGATACTATCTAATTAATGATCATTTTTTCACAGTGCCTTCATCTCATTCAAAGTAGGAAGAGGAATGAGACACATCAAACCTCCCCCAGCCAAGGAGATCCTGTGTCAAAGCAGGGGCTCAATACCTGGAGACACTTTCAATTTTAATCTTGACCCAACACACCTAGTTTTAGAAAAGGATATAATATTCCCTTCCTCTAGTGTTCCAGAATTCATCTTCCCTTATTTAATTGAGATGAACAGAACCAAAGACACCCCGAGGAAATTAATTCTGGCCTGTGAAAATTATTTGAACATGACTTGGTCAAACAAGGTGTGAGGTCATACAATCCAAAATTAAAGTACTGAATAGCTGCTCATTTAATAAGGACATCCACTTGCATGGAGCAAGGATTTAAATCACATAAACTCCACCATGAATAGGTTCATGGGAGCTGAATAAAGGGTGCAGAGGTCACCCCACTGATGTGGACAGTTTGGCTTTAGGTGTTAAATTTTTCCAGTTTTCCCCATTACATTCCAAACAGAAGGAAAGGACTGACAACAGGAGTGAGCTGCTTGATGAAAAAAAGCACAAATGAGCCACAGAAAGAGGCACAAGAAAATTAATCTGCATGCTGCTGACAAACAGCACAGCTCTTGGTACCAGTGACACAGCTACTGCTGTAAAGTTAATTTGCTTTCTGGACATATTTGTGCCAAAGTCACGGCGTTACCTTTCCATCCCCAGAAAAAGAAAAGAGCACAACCAAAACAAAATCTGCATCCTGTACTTCAGGAAAAATAATGCTTCCCGCTCCCTCAGTGGGATGAGATCATGCAGCCAAGAAACCTCCTCCAGCCTTGTGGGCTCTATCCCACGTAGGGCTCTCCTGTCAGGCAACTCTGAGCTGCAGAGGAAGTCAGAGGAGAGGGGGGGGAAACAGTGGCACTTACTGAAAGCTTTGCTTTTTGTTTCTGCTTTGAGCAAAAGAGGAAAAAACAGCTAATAAAAGGACAACACCACAGGAGTGGCTGCTGGCTGGTGTAGGATGGGATTTTCTAAGTGGGTTATGCAAAGGTAGGTGGTATCATTTAACAGCTGGTTTGCAGCCTCAAGGCACTGATAGAGGGCTGGAAAAGAGGATTGTTTGACTGTGTTATACCAAAAGCTGAGGCCACCTTTTACAGGCTGTTTCCTGACACCACAGAACGAAGTCTGACTCCACCAGGTCAGATCAAAGGCCTTCTTGCCAAGTATTGTCTTCAGAACAGGCAGCAATAAATGCTCAGGGAAAGGGCACAGGACAAGGAACAGCATCATCCCCTCCTACACCTTCCCAGCTTTTGGCACCCAGTCCTTTGGGAAAGGGCTGTTAACACTCCTGAAGGTCTCTGTATTTCCATTAACATGGATTATCAAATTAAAAAATAGTGGGAAGTGTATTTAAGTCCTCCTGACAGTTCCAAGAATTATAGGTGTGATTATTTCAAGTCAGAGCTCCCTGCAGAACTTGAACAGGGATGAACATCTGAGATCGACAAGCTGTTCCCAACAGAGCAGCTTTTTGTGTCACACTCTTCAGAGAATTTGGTAATTTGCAAATCAAATATCTAAGCTATCAAGGTTTTTTGGCTTGAAAAGCTGCATGACCTTAATTCTGAAAAAGAAAAAATGAGATATTAGATGAGGGAACCGTTTTCCAGTCCCAGATCAGGAACAAGGAAAACTTCAGACTCTTTTTGCACTCCTCATCTTGCAGATAAATTCACTGTCCAAAATGGGCATCTTTTGGAGCTTGGTTTAAAGATTTACTTCTCATGGTACAATCTTTTCTGCTGAAAAAAAGCAAACTACGTTGACACTCACTGCCACAGCCACCTGTGGTACAGGAGAGTGAACCAAGACAATCAAACTCATCTTGGGTGTGAATACATCATTATTAGCTAAAGGCAACTTAGTTTCCATAGAGGAAGGCTGGATTTAAAGCATTAGGCTGCAGAGCTGAAAAATCCCCGGGAGCTGCCCCAGGCTTCTCACCTAGGGAAGAAGTGTTAAAGGCTTGTCTTCAAGGACAACCTGTGCTCTGAAAGGCAAAATAATTACACACACTTTCAACACTGTGCTCTTAATCAAAGGTAAAAGATTTCTCTGCAAACCAAACTCTTTCAGTGTTTTCTGAATACAGGTACTTGCTATAAAATGGCTTTCACGTAACAGCTTAAAAAGCTGCAATGTTTTTAGTCCCTGAACAGCTGCTGAAGTCAGGAAGGAGAAAACCAACAAAAAGATACCTATAATAGCTGAGCCAAAGCAAAGAGGATAAACACATGCATTTGTGTCTGTGAAGAGTGATTTTGCTAATCCCTGTTACTGCCATTGTGTTTCAGAGAGTTAAGGGTAAAAAACCTTCATTTTGCTGCAGTCACAGAGGTTGGTACCTACATGGTTTCTGTCCTGGGACAGCAATAATATTCTAAGGCTTTTCACATTAGAGCTTCGGTCTAAGAGATCTACAGCTTTATCCAGGTCATCTTGGTTTTTCAGAGGGATAGAGAGCTGCAAAATAAAGAACAGGAAAAAATCATTAGAAAAGACAGAAAAAATAAGTCTATTTCCACAACAGGTGTTTCAACAAACAGAAAAATACCAGAATGTAAGACAGGACTCTGACTGCTCACAAATTTTCATTCCAATACTGTCTCACTGTCCCCTCTTTAATGAGGTTTTCCTCCCGTGCCAGAGAAATGGCTGACCCTGTGCAAATTTCTCTAAAGCAGCAGCCACAAAAATATTAATTGCTACCTGAATTTGCTGTTTGCAAAAAACAAGTCGGGGACTTGTCAGCCCCTGACTCCCTGAGGAGAACGTGGTCTCAGAGCACTTATGAATTCAGACCTACTGATCAAGTGAAAATTGGGTTTCAGAGAGAAAGAAGAAGATAAAGACTTTGAAAGGGGGAATCAAATTAGAATTTAAAACTTGCTAATAAGACCCCGTGAAATCAGGCTCAGACACCCTCTATTCTACAGCCCACTCACATCTCAAAATGGGAATGTTATTAACCCTGGAGAACTCTCATTTTTGTCCCACTCTCACTGGTGAATGGGGTTCTGCATCTCCCTCATTAGGGATGCAGTTCCAAACAGTGGGAGGGCGACACCATGACAATAAAAACAAGGAAAAACCAGTGTGTCCAGGGTGAGAAAGCCACTAAAATACTTTAGATTATTAACATGGACTACCCAGTTCCTGAGAGACAAATGCTGTTGCCCATGTCACTTTATTTCACTGCTGACAGTGCCCACAGTCCCCCCAAAGCCTCCTCTGTTCTTGGACTCCCCTTGTTCCCCGGGTAACAAGATCTCCCTGGATATATATCAGCCTGCAAGAGTTGCTTTCAACAATAAAATACTTCAAATACCTTTTTTACTTCCCCAAGAGAGTCTCCCAACCACCACCAGTGCAAGGCAGCAAGATGCTGCTGTTTGTACAGCACACACAGCACCGTGAGGCTTTGTCAGGATCAGGGTGTTTGCCTTTGGACCAGGGATTCAACAGTGCTTTGCATTGAAGGAAGAACTGAAAATTAAATTTACGGGCACAGGATTTGTGAGGGGGAGATGTGGTGCAGAGAGTGTCTGCCATGCCCTGAGCACTGGGAGCTCTGTACCTCGTTGTTCATGTAGTGCAGGTCCAGGGGCTGCCCAAAGGCTGTTTTCACTTTCTGCTGCACGTCTTCGTAACGCACGGGCCGGACAAACGGGATGATCCTGGAATGAGAGAGAACCCCCGGCTGAAACCAGAAATACACTTGACAATGCAATCAAACCAGGTGGCTGAAGCCTTAAAAACACATTTGAATGCTCTCCTTTCATCCTCAAGCACGGAGTGAGCCTTTCAAATTTAAATTTACACGCGCTGTTTCAGTGAGGAATTATTGATCTCTGGCCCATTTCCAATGGTTTGTCAAAATGCAATATTCAGCTGCAGATTTTAAATAGAATCCCTTTGTCCCTGGGCAGAGAAGTATCCTTTGCTGAATCAGTGGCTTTCACAAAACAGGATACAAATGTCCCGTGCACCTTGGCTTAAAAAATACTGCCTTGGGCACAAAACACACTCAGGGAGAGTTAAATTAAAAGCTGCAGAGGCCAAAAGAATAAAAAATGTAAGTATCCGAGTACCTGAACTCAAAATTCACTCCCTAATAATCTCCAAAATGCATTTCATATTAAAAGTTTCAACAAATATTCCCACAGCAAAGTAAGTTCTGAACTCCTGAGGGAAGACAACAGCAGGTGGACACAAAGGAACCTGAAAACCCTCTTTCCCAAAGGTGGTCTGTGCCCTTAGCTCCATGTCTGTCCCCTGCATGCTCAGGTCAGACATCTCCAAACATCTGAATCATGGACTCACTACGCTGGCTTTCCAGTTTTCCATCAAATAATGGAATGGTTTGGGTTGGAAGGAACCTTAAAGATCATCTTGTTCCAAACCTGTGCAACACAGCAGGGTTTTTTCTCCAGAGCTGAGGCCAAATCTAACTGTGCAAATGTTTGTCACACATGGTTTGCTTTATTTAAAAAAAATTGCTTTATTTTTTCATTAAAGAGGCCCAAATAGACCAAAACTTAAATATAGCTTCAGCTGTAATAGCAGTGTCACAGCTGACTTGCAACAATCGAGAATATTTTTATAAGTCAGAAGATTCACGTTACACTGATCAGTCTCACACTCTCCTGCTTCCTCCCTCCTATTTTTTTATCTTCAGGCACCTTCAGCAACTGACACACAAAATCTGCCCAGATTTAAATTATTCCACACAAAACCTGCACAGATGTAAATTATTCTGATCACTGTCCCTGGGCCCAGACCTTGTGACACACTAAACCCCAGCTCAAGCACTCAGCCATTCCCTCCCCAGGTGAATGGCAGGAGTTTTACACTCACAGACAACAACAGCCTTCAGGAATGCAAAATGTTACCCTGTGGAACCCTGTGGCACATAAAGGCTTTTCAGAAAATGACACTACACTTTGCTTTGGTTTTATTACTGTTTTGCCTGCCTTGGAATAGCAACTCTCAATGTTTCAGGCAGAGGAACAATATGAACTTCCAGGAAAGCATCTAAAACTCTTTTATTTTGCTGGGATGTTCTGCTGTAGGAAGTTACCAAGTATTCACAAAGTCTACCTTGACAGCCATGGAAAAGGATGATTTTCACCCTCTTCAGAATAATCTGGAGGATTCAAATGCAAGCTATAGTTTACAACCCACTGTTCTAAACAAACCAGGGCCACCCAGAGCAGTGGTGGAACCATCATCTCTGCAAGTGTTCAAAAAACATGTGGATGGGGCACTGGAGGACATGTTTTAGTGGTGACCACGGTGGTGGTGCTGGGTTGGACTTGAGGACCTTAAAGGTCTTTTCCAACCTGCACAATTCTGGGATTCTGTGCCACCTCCTGCTCAGAAAGCCACTCTTCACCTCTTTGCTGCACAGGCTTCTCACCTTCAGCTTCCATGAGACCTCACTGTGTCTACACTGCAAGTCAAGCCCTCCAGGGGCAGTCACAGGACAAGGGGGAATGGCTTTAAACTGACAGAGGGCAGGGTTAGATGGGCTATTGGGAAGAAATCCTTCCCTGGGAGGGTGGGCAGGCCCTGGCACAGGTTGCCCAGAGAAGCTGTGGCTGCCCCTGGATCCCTGGAAGTGTCCAAGGCCAGGATGGAGCAGCCTGGGATAGTGAGTGGCACCCCCAGCCATGGCAGGGAGGTTGGAACAAGATGATCCTTATGGTCCCTTCCAATCAAAGCCATCCTGGGTTCAAACCATCACTATGATTCTGTGATGAACCTGTGCTTTGGATAAAAGGCTTAACTTCCCATCCATCCATTCATCCATCCATCCATCCATGCATCCAGCTTCATCAGCCCTGGGTATCCTCTCATGAGATGCAGCTTTTGTTTTAAATAGCCCTTGTGTCAGTTGGATTCCTCAGCCCCTTCCCAGGAAAGGTTCATCTTGCTACCAGTCCTACAACATCCAGTTATTTGGAAATAATTGTGCTTGTTAAAAAGCAGCCCACAATAACATTTTCTACATATTCCTAAGAAACCCATCCACGAAATTATAGTACTCTGGCACCACACAAATGTAATTTAGCTCTCAGTGCCTTATAAAGGCTCCCATTCTACACTCAACACATTCAAAAGCAGAGCTGTTCTCAGGTGCCACAAATTCTATTAGTTTAAAAACTCTGTGCACTCCTCTAACACAAAATCCTGGACTGCAGGGTTTGAGGAGCCCATTCCTGCCTGACCACCTTAAATATTTGTGGTTAGATCTGGCAGCTGCTGTGAAGCCAAGCACACACACTCACATTCTGGTGCAGGCTCCCTGTCTGTAACTGCACACCGCGCTGGGAGCGGGGAATTCGCCTCAGTGAAACTGCATAATTAGACTAACACACAATCAACCTTTTCATTTTAATGTTACTTCAGGAAAAAAACCCTTTCTCCCCCCCTCCCCGAGCTCGGTGCCACCTGAAATGCACCCGGGTTGAAGACAGGCAAGATGAGAAGCTCGTGGGGACAGATTTTGCTGCTGAGTTCCCTCGTCCTGGCACGGTGTGACAAGGAACTGTGACATGGCACCCCCTGCCTCTGTTTTGCCCACACAAACCCCTGACACAGGAAGAAGATCTGGCTGACAAAGGAGGCAGCAGACCCCAGTGATGATCACTTCTAAAATTTCTCCCCAAGCACCAAAAGTCAGGGTTGTTTTAGGGACAGAATTCGTCGCGTAGGATTTTAGCGAAAGCAACAGTTCAAGTTTTGGGGAAGATCACAAATTATTCTCCACTGCCTGCTTTGCCAACAAAGAATGCTTCTGCTTTCCTGATAAAAATCCCCAAATTTGACAAAGGAGGATACTTGAGCAGGAGCTTCAGCACCTCAGCCATAACCTTTGCTAGGACCTGGTATGAGGATCCCTGCAGACAACTTGTGCTGTTGTACCATCAACATTAAATTTGCATTTTATCACGAAACCATGAACTACTTTATGTTGGAAGTAAATGGGAGAAACCAAAGGATTCCCATAGGATGGCTGTGAGGAGTAGCACATACATTCCTGCTTACAATCCAATTAATTTCCTCCAAAATAAGGGAACTGTAACCCATCATTAAGATCACTTTTTGCCCTCAGTGAGAGCAGACTCAAAGAGACCACAGGCAAGCTTGGAGCCTTCCTGTATGTCCACACACCACCACACAGCCATTAAATGTTTTGAGAGTTCCTCTCAATGCTATGGCAAGTAAGAGGCATTTTGAGACCTACTTTTAAATATCCAGGCAATTTTATCCATTGCAAACAATGCTGTAAAAACTGAAGCTGCTGTTTCAGTTGTTTCTGGGTTTTTCTTGTAAAAGAATGTCTCTCAAAAAAGGAAATAACAAAGAAACTTTTACACCAATGAAAAAAAATCTTCCCTTGCTGTATCTGTTGCTCAATCACAGCAGGACAGTGATAGCAACAGGGCATCAGGAAGTGAGAAACTAGAAAAGAATGACACTGATTTGATCAGCTTCATTTGGTTTTAGTTAAATAAAACAAAATGGGAACATGTATGAAGCGAGACTTTCAGGCTGAATTTATTTCAGGCTGGACAGCTTTTTAATATCGCTGCAATTCACTTGCAAATAGATATTATGGAAATAAATCACTGTTTTATGACACGCCGGTCTCTAAAAATAACCAAGTTGTGTGTGACCTGTTTGTTACGGCCTTCCCTGTGTGATTTTCGTTCAGGAAAAAGAAAAGTGAAGCCAACAAAATATTTAACCTAAATTACTGATGACTGAACTATTCTCGTAAGCAAAGAACCGAAGCACTGAAGGCCAACTTACCGTCGCTCCCCGTTATGTTCAAACTTTATCCTGACATCATTCTGCAGGAGAAAGAACAAGAGGTGAGTTCACAATCACATTCTGCCACACAAATGCATCACAACAGGATTTTAATAGGATTTTAAGTTTCTTGATGGAAGCTAAGGTAGACTGTGGAAACAAGTGGCTGGTATGTTTTTCAGAGAAACTGCCGAAGGAGAAAGGCAAGGAAAGGGGTAAAAACTGAGCTGTAATTTTTGTTAACTGTCACTGAAACAGAGGATACTTTTAAGGAAAATTAAAATACCTTGAACACTGCATGGTAAAAATCTGAAATTGAGTCCTAACTGCTTATTAATCTTAACTGAAGTTAATTTTCTTTGAGCACTCAAAGCAAAGATGGAAGAGAGATACAGAGAATGTATACATTCTCTATTCTTATTCCTTCCTTTTATTCTTATTGTTTATTCTTATTCTGATTTCTATTTATTATTCTTATTCGTTATTCCTATGTGTTATTCTTCATTCTTAAGACATGGACTAAATCTCTGCTTTTGCAAAAATGCAGCCCCTGAAACTCCAACTAAGTCACAAACAGGCTGATTCTGTGTCACCTTCTAAAGCTCCTCACCTGTATCTGGGTGGTTCAAAGCACAGCCACACAACCTGTGCAGTCACTGCACACTCAGAAGATGCTCTGTGGCACAGAAGAGTCAACGTGCTGAACTTTCAACTCTGGACATCGAAGTTCAAATCCCAATTTAGGTCAGAAAGATAAAAATAAAAGGGAAAAAATCTGCTCCGATAAGACTCCATAATTTCTGCTGCACAATTTATGTGATTGGAATAGATTAAGCCATCTGTGAAAGCCTCAGACAATAGGCAATCATACATCTAGGAACTTCAAAAAAACGTGGCCAGGAAATGCTCTTTAGCTGGAGGAAGTTTCTGGCAGGCCCAGTGGTCAAGAATTCAGTTCAAAGGGATGGGATTCCTGCAGCATGGATCAGGGAAAACGAGCTCCCCAGTCCCAGCAACGACCCCCTGCAGGTGGGTACTTCACGTGTAACTTTAAAAGACAATTTTTTTAGATGTGGGAAGAGAAAGAGCTTACTCTAGAATGACTCCAAAATGAAACAAACTCATCTGGATTGAGCAGTAAAGGAAAAATGCAGCAAACAGCACAGGAACAGTATCCTATAAAAGATGCCCACCAGCCAACTCCTGATGAAACAGCTGTTCTTAGACATATTGGGTGGAGGAATGATCCCTTTGGGTCAGGATTTTCAAAGAAGTAAGTTTGTTTCTTAGACATACTGGATGGAGGAATGATCCCTTTCTATCAGGATTTCAGGGAAGTAAGGCTCTAGGTAAGTTTTTTTTTTAATGTTAGACTATTCTAAATAGCCCAGTCTAAGGGAGCTAAACAGGACTGTTTGGATGAAATGGAATTCAAGTCATTTTTCAGATTAAATTTCTGACCTCAAGACGTGGTTTAGGTCCTGGAACAGCCAAGTAACACAGCTCTCATTAATTAAAATTAGACAACACAAAAAAGATCTTCAGGGCTCTTTGGAGACCTTTCTTTAACTTGCTGGTACCTAAGCAAACCAAAATCACTTTCTCAACTCCGCTGCACACTTTAGAACCTGTAATTCCGAAGAAAGGGAAGGGGGATGGAATTTGGCATTTATCTCTTGCTGATTTTTCCATAAGGGATCAGACACTGGTCACTCATGTCTATTTTTTAAAGACCTAAGAAAAGGTGTTCAAAGTGATCTCAGTGTTCACACTCCAGAGAGAAACTCGAGGAGTTAAGCTTTCCAGTGCTTTCAGTTTCTCTTGAAAGCGGTGAGCCCATCAATTTTTAAAGTAAGTCATATAAACTCTCCTAAGAGCTGAGTAAAAAGGCAAATCCAAGTTTAGTGCCTCAGCGTTCCAGTATCATAAATCACGGTTACAGGTTTTGATTTCAGACATCCCTGAATTCCCGTTCAAAGCCATCCGGGGAGGATTTTTGTTCTGCTCCATCTACGGATTTGTCCAGCACATTCTAGGAAACCCCAGATCCAGCTGAACAAGTAGATTACGAGCAGGCAAAGCGTAAGGAAGACAGACATGAACTTTAAAGCCTGCTCCAAAAGGCTTAAAAGCCTGTAACAGGAATCAAACTGCAAAGAGTTATTTTACTGACACAGGCAACTTCTCCTGTTAATGTCAGTCTTACTGCCAGCAACTTGATCTAACCTTGTAAGACAGTAACAGACAAACAATTGAAATTGGTGCTTTTGCTTTGAAGTATTTCATTTAAATGACATCCAGCATCTACTGACAGAGTAAAGAGTGATTTATTCTGTCCTTCCTTTCGACCAGAAAGTCAATACCAGGGTTTTGTTCATGAAAAAAGTCTGTAGCAATGTGGAACAAACCTGGAGTGCTGCCTCCATCACTTACAGACTGCTTTGGGTGGGAAGGGACCTTAAAGCCCACCCAGTGCCAACCCTGCCATGGGCAAGGACACCTTCCACCAGCCCAGGTTGCTCCAAGCCCCGTCCAACCTGGCCTTGGACACTTCCAGGGATCCAGGGGCAGCCACAGCTTCTCTGGGCACCCTGTGCCAGGGCCTGCCCACCCTCCCAGGGGAGGATTCCTCCCCAATATCCCACCTAACCCTGCCCTCTTTCAGTTTAAAGCCATTCCCCCTTGTCCTGTCACTACACTAAAACATGTACCCCCTGTAACATCAGGAGAGAGCCGGGAAAGAAAAGCTTTTCCAGCCTCCCACACCTGCTTAAAGGAATCCTATAAAGGTCACAGCACACAGTGGTGAAACCTACACATAATTTATAATTGCTGATATGGAAATAAAGCCAATTTTCTCACCGGAATTTTTTTTTCTTCCACTGCAGAGGCACACTGGTTTGTTATTGCAGGGCTGCCCAGGAGGGGGGGACTGCTGGCATTGTGTTTTTTCTTTAAAAGGAATAAAATCATTTTTAAAAAAACGGCAAGTTAAAAATTTTTACACTTGGTAAATTTTTTTAGCTGATCAGACCAAACAACATCACAAACACATGTGGGGGGAAGGCAGGATACTAAGATGATGCAAATTATCAAATACACACACACACACACATATATATATATAAAAAAATACATAACTTTACATATATATCCTTATATATAGCTTTTAATTTTATATAGACAAACCAATATAAAATACATACTATTTTAATATAATTTATACATTATATAAAATTGTATTTATTCTAGCATATCTTTTGATTGTAATATTAATTAATCTAATTATATTATAACATTAATTAGTAATATCATTATATTTCTATTATATTAGAAAATTATTTATATATAATACATAGTATATCTACTATATTTAATATATAAATCAATCTATAACTATATTTGATATAAAAATATACTATATAATAATATATGGTATATATAATAATAGTATATATAATAATATAACTATATTTAATATGTAAATTAATATATAAAATATAGTATATCTACTATATTAAATATAGTAGATATCTACTATATTTAATATAGTAGATATATACTATATTTAATATAGTAGATATCTACTATATTTAATATATAAATCAATCTATAACTATATTTGATATAAAAATATACTATATAATAATATATGGTATATAATAGTATATATAATAATATAACTATATTTAATATGTAAATTAATATATAAAAATATAGTATATCTACTATATTTAATACAGTAGATATTATATATTTTATACATATTAGTATACATTATGACAATTATAATATATATTAACATACATTATTAATACATATTATATATTATATTTTAATATATATATGAAAATAAAACTTTTCCATATTTGCCACACAGCCCGAGCAGGATGAGGGAGTTAATCCTGTCAGAAGCAGAGGCAGCAGATCCTCTGTCCTTCTGCCCCCATTTCCCCATTTCAGGGGCTCCCTCAATGGCCCATTACCTGTTTGTTGGTGTGAGCAGTGTCTTTATTCTTCATGGTATCATAGCCAGGCAGCCTGTGACGCCTGCTCATCTGGAGAGCCACCAGGTCCTTCATGATGGATTTCAAGGCCTCCTGTTCATCTGCGAGGCACAAGAATTTTTGGAATAAGTGGCCTGGGTGAGCATCAACTGTGACACTTCTTGGGGAACAACAAACCTTTTCAGGGTCTTTGCAAAGACACTGTGATTTTGTTTAGTCACAGAAAGTCCAAGCTAACAGAAGACCATGAAGTAGTAAACAAACAGATAAATTTTAAGTCTCTTGTCCAATGTCACAGAAGGATCAGAATAAATATGCCCAGCCCCTAATTGTGTTTAAAAGCCTTGACAACAAACAGTACAACCTGGGCAGATCTGCTAGATCATCAGAGGTCATTTAGGAAGGGCAAACTGATGTGCTTCTGCCAAGGAAAACCTGGTAAAAATCTGTTCTTTCCCACTTTATATCCTGCTAACTCTCAATTCTTGCCTGTTAGCAGAACAAACCACAGCCAGCAGAGAGAGAAACGAAAACCCGGGCGAAGAACCATCCTGGAGTGTCCCTGAACACAAATCCACTCGCACTGATTGCCCCAACACGTTCCTCTCTTCCCTCAGAACAAGCTGATGGAACAAAATTCAAACCATTTTATGAGGTTTCAAGATGAAATTTGATTTGAGCAGGTTCAAATCGTCCAGCACTGAGAACACTGCTGGCAAAGTGCAACGCAGCAGGTTCAATTCAAGGCTTCTTGCCTTGCAGGAAAACACAAACACACACTGAATTTTTTCTTGTATGTACTACTGACTAAAAATTACTTTCTGAAGTGAACATTCCTGATATAACCCATTTAATGTGTTCTCTCCCATTGCCTGTTAGTTTTGAGGAGAGAAGTGTATTTATTTAGCAGAACTTCGTATGAAGTCTACAGAAAAGAAGACATATAAGGGGGGAAATGCTCAGTAACTGTGATGGATGGTGCAAAAAGGTCTAAAAGCCACGGAAAAGAATCCTTTGCTTTAGCAAGGACAATGATCTCAAATTCTTTGAAATTGGAAAAGGTAAAAGAAGCTGCCATGTGAAGTTTTGTCCAAAATGGGACTGCACTGGCCACTGTGCTCCAGGCACTGCCACGACCAACAAAGCAGCCTCAGATGCCTCCCTTTGCTCCTGGCACAGTCACCTGGTGTCTCACACAGCAAGACTCAGAGAGCTTTTAGGGATAAAGTCTTGTTTCCTCGGCAAATAATACACCCAGTTAAATCCTTCCTGATACTGAGGCATTCTTGAGGCATGAAATGTGAAGCAGTGATTTGATCAGCTCTGAACATCCCCAGCAGAATCTGCCCTTTCCAAACGAGTCTGGGTGGACTTGGCCACTAGTTTTGAATGTAAACCTGTTTGGCTTTTTTAATTTTTGGATAATTGGAGTTTTTGGAAGTGATGTGAGCCCCGTAAGTTATCACAGCCTTACTCAGATGACAGTGTGTCGGGTGTGCAGTGCTTGAAATGCACAATTCCTCCCGAAGTCCCCAATCACTTTGAGGAGTTTGAACTGAAATGAGCACTTTTTGAAGCTGATTTGTAAACAACTGAAACTTCATTTTAACAATCCACCATGGCTGAACACTCATTCCTGATTCGTGGCACTGGTCTGATGGGTAATGGTTTGCATTTGGAAGAGCTGTCCTGGGAACAGCTGCTGAACATTAAATGATGGACTGACTCGCATCTGTATTTCTCTGTACAAGGGACTCACTGGGACTATTTGTTTCTTCAATTTTATGTCATGCATTTGTTCGTGAGTGTCTCCAAAGCAGCCAGTGTATGTTTTATGCACAGACTGGCTTCATAATTAATCAGTGTCTCAATAACAAACCAGATTTTCGCAACGCTTGAAGATGACAGATGTGGGACATGTACAGCCTGTGGAGCAGCCAGGGAGCAAATGCTACTAAAAGCAAAATGGGGGAAAAAATATACCTATTTGTAATGAAGAAACACCTAAAGAAGTCCCAGGGAGAAGTCACACTAATGATATCTTTGGTACAACAAATAGTTTCTGCCCAGGTCTGCTTTAGCTTTCATAGGATCACAGAATCATAGGGTAGTTTGGGTTGGAAGGGACCTCAAACCCATCCAGTTCCACCCCTTGCCATGGGCAGGGACACCTTCCACTAGCCCAGGTTGCTCCAAGCCCCGTCCAACCTGGCCTTGGACACTTCCAGGGATCCAGGGGCAGCCACAGCTTCTCTGGGCAACCTGAGCCAGGGCCTCCCCACCCTCACAGCCAACAATTCCTTCCCAATATCCCACCTAACCCTGCCCTCTGGCAGTGTTAATCCATTCCCCCTTGTCCTGTCACTCCAGGCCCTTGTAAATATTCTCTCTCCATCTCTCCTGTTGTCTCCCTTCAGGTACTGGAGGGCCACAATCAGGTGAGTCCTAACTCAGTCCAGAGACTACCCAAGTTCTGAGGTACATCCTCTGTGGACTTCAGACTCTGCTACCAAAGCCCAGAAACATCAAGCCTGGGCCAGACCATGGAGGGGAAGAAACCTCCCAGTGCATCTGCAGAAGGTGTTAATTAGAGTGAAACTCTTAAAAAAGGAAAGCAGAGCAGAGAAAGTAAAAAAAATCAGAGTCAAAACCCACCAAATCTCTGCTGTCCAAGACAAGCCAAACGAGACAATAACCACATTGTGGCAGTGGAGAAGAGAGAGCACTCCTTGAAATTCCAACTGCATGTAAAAGAAGCGAGGAGTGTCAGTAACACAACCAAAGCAAGAGGCTGCTTTTTGAGGAGCACATCGGCCAAAGGAAATAATTGCTGGGATCTATCTCAGCACTAAGTAACCCCTTGTGGGAGGAAAACATGAAAAACAGTTGTGAATGAAGCTAAAGTTCCAGGTAGGTAACAGCACAACTTTTCTTTAAAAAAAAAAAAAAATGTTTCCAACTTCACATTTAACCTCTTACCTTACTGGAGTGTCTCCAATTTACTTGTATTCTTCAATTTGGACTGATATTAAGCACAGCCTTGGAGTCATCTGGCAGACAAAGGCTATAACTGTGCACAACAAAATACTACAACCTATGGACTGGCATATCCCTGGAGTTCCTACCACCCAAAACACACCGGGAAGAGCTGGGATACAAGTTTTCCACTACAGTGCAGTTTGGGTTTGGCCAGATACCAGGAGGATGAGGAAGAGCTTGTGTTGGCAGCACTCCTCTGGGCAAGAAGCAAACCAGCTATGAAAGCAGTTTATAACTGAGGGCTCATGACAAGAAATCAAGTCAAAGAATATGTCTGTGAATAAGAATTCGCCCCGAAACAATATCATCGCTGGAAAATCAGGGTCAGCGCTCACAACGGTTGGTTACAGGTGTTTGATCCCAAATTCCAGCTGTGTGGAGTCTCCCAGTGACTCATTTGTGTGAGGAACTGGGCACGGAGGACAGGCATCCAACCGACTGTGTGTCTCTCAATACAGATTGCAGCTTGGTACGGGGAGAATTTATTTATTAGCTGAGGCAAGAATTTACAATCTAGTAAACTCCTAAGGGCAGCACCTGGAAGCACCAGAGCTCAAGGAGTGGTTTGGACAACACTCTCAGGCACAAGATGGGATTGCTGGGGTGTCCTGTGCAGGGCCAGGGGTTGGACTGGATGATCCTTGTGGGTCCCTACTAACTCAGGATATTCTATAATTCTATAAACCCCAGTCAGTGCCCTGCAAGGTCACTGCAAACTCACTTTCCTCTGTGCCAAAGCTGAAATCTTACTGATCTCCACAAAACTGGAACAGTTAATGTTCTGTCAAAGGTGATGGAACAGGTTCAGGTGAGTTTGAATCTTATTATACAGTTTTTAGTAGGTTTTAGTACCAAACCATATATGCTGTAATTCATCCCTGTGTTGATGAGATAGGAAATGACAGAGTATTTATCTTTTAAAAACATGAAGTTAAATACTGATCTGAGGTTGTGTAGGGAAAAATCATCTCCAGTTAGGACAGCACTGTGATGGATTTAATGCTGAGAAGCATGAATACTTCTTTATTTCCCTCAAAACAGAGGATTTCCATAGACTGACTTGGAAAAGCACATGGAGCAACATTACATTAATCACACAATACAGAAGTTGCTACAAATGAAAACGAAGCAATTCTTGGAGTGCACTGAGAGACCCTGTTTTGCCTGGTCTCCAGTAGGTCTGGGAAACACAGTTCTGCTTTGTGCGGGAAAGATGTTGTCCAGGAAATGCTTTTCATGTTTTAAAAACTACACTCAAGGATTTTTATAACATCGATAAAAGCGAACTGCTGCTCCCAGAGAAAGCTATTCCTCTCCATAAAGCATTTATTTCAACGAATCCCTGGCTTCTTACACAGGTCTGAGCGAGTCAGAAATGGAAACTCTTTTGAAAATAAAATAAAAAAAAAATAAAAAAATCACAAAGTTCAAACAGCGAAAGCATCTGCCCATGGGCAAAAACAGGAAGTCTGTGAACCCCTCTAACCCAGGATGGTGTTTTATTTAGTGTGATAATGATGCCACATTAGTTTAGAAGGGAAAAAAAGTGAATAAATCTGTTATCTACCCCCACAACAGCAAAGTTGGCTGGGGCAAGCCATTGGCAGATCCAGGGGCAACGAGGAAATTTTACACAAATTGGGTCCATGAAAAAAATCTTGGAAAGTTTCATTTTGAGTCCTTTGCTGTGGGCAGTTTTAGTGGTACCAAAACGCTGTTCTGCCCAATTTTTAGGAAATCACAAGTGACTGGTTTGTAGAGTGAGATGAAAAATCAGAGACTACCACAGACACGGGACATGTGGGATATATTTAGGGTCCCTCTTCTCACCCAGAAGTTAAAGGAAAAGCCTGGGATTTGGGATTTGAGCCGCAGCTCTGTCCCTCCCCCCGGGTGTCACTGAGCTGTGGCCATGGGTGCGTGTGTGAGCCAAGGGAAGGAAGTGACACAGGCAGGAAAACCGAGCGGATCGAGGGAACGCCGGGACGGAGCGGGGCCGGCCCAGCGCCCACCCCGCACTGCGCGGCCCTCCCGGCACAGGGACCTCGTGCTTCTCCATGTGAGAAGCAAATATCTGTATTTTAAAGCCTGCCAAGGTGTCTGGAGGGAAATAAACCTCAGGGATTGCCCTGGAGGTGCAAGGTTGGAGAACCGCTCCAGGTGAGTTCCAGCAACCTGTGACACCAACCACCCCCCCGTGTCCTCCAGAGCGGGTCATGAAACACAAGATGCAAGAAAAGCAGAGCATGATACAGCCCACTGTCCATTATTAATTAGATCATGTGATCGCAACTGCCTAATAAACTCGGATTTTTCCCATTGTAAGGGATCTGCAGCTGTGCCATGACACACACAATGCTGTGGTGGAGCAGCCCATGAAATTGTACTTTTTCATTCTGCACTCACGTGTTTACAAACACACATTCAGCTGCCATTGGAAAATGCTTCCATGGAAATCCAACCTCTTCCTTCTCAACAATTTTAAGCTTATGAACCACCTGCCTGGTTCTGTAGAGGAGGTACAGAGAGATAATCCCGTGCCTCTCTTTACGGCAGAGAATTCTAGTGATGGATCTGCACAGATTTGTTGTCTTTACCAAATCAAACCAGAGCACAGAGGGATTGAAGTTGTTGGAGTTTAGCTTTGAGCAGCATTTGCAATGCTTTATGAATTCAAAATATAAGAACTATTTATGCATACAGACTAAATGAAGGACAGGCTCAGAAAACTAAACTTGGCTGTAGGGAAGAAACACTGAAGTTGTAGCCCATGAAGCCATGAAACTCCACACTTACAACAGGAGTAACTCCCTTGCCCATATGCAGATATAAATAAGTTCTGGTTCAGACCAACTAAGAATTTAATTCTAGCAGGAGACCTCTCTTTAAACTTAAAGGGGAATTAGGAAGCATAATCCCCCCCCCATAAGCAGTTTTTTATACAGGACATAGAGTCCAAATCCAAATTAATTCCAATTAATCAATCAATTTCAGTCATGGCAACTCCTCGCAGCAAACGAGTTCCTCCAACTCCTCTGCTTATTTTTACGTGTTGCTGCCTGGGCTGAGAATGGCAAACAAGAATTCAGTGGAAGCCCCATAAAGAAAATACTATTCTGATGGACTCCCAAGCCACTATTAACACCAAAAACTCCCCCAATTAATCCGAAGCCCATCAACTCCCGTCCCAAGAAGAGCCAGCCTGACCCTGGGAGGCTGCAGGAGCTCCCCGAGCCCGACCGGGCCAAGTTCAGCAAAGCCCCGGGGCAGCAGGGGAGGGGGCACGGTGCTCCCCGCAAACACACGATTTTTTTACCATTTTAACCAAATCCTTGAAATCCTCCCCCACCATTTCCCGGCGGCGCTGCCGGTGCCGCGGTAACCCCGCGGGCAGCGCGGCCGCGGCAGGTCCCGTCCGGCCCCTCCGCCCTGCGGGGGCCGCGGCAGGTCCCGGCCGGGCCCGGGCCGCACCGGGGGCAGCGGAGCCGCGGGGACCCCCCCATCCATCCCGGAGGGCGCATCGCCCCCTCCCCTCCCCTCCTCTCCTCTCTCCGCCTGCCCCCCCCCCCCGGCCCGTGAGGCGGCCCCGGTTCCCCGCGGCCTCCCCGCCGGTTGCTCACCCATGTCTGCGGGCGGCGGCGCCGCGGGCGGCGGGCGCTGCGGGTCGGCGCTGTCACCGCCGCGGCTCCATGGCGGCCGGGCCGATGGCGGGGGGAGGGAGGGCTCAGAGCCGCCGCGGCCGCCACATTCCCAGGCCCCGCGCCGCCGCCGCCGCCGCCGCCTCCTCCTCCCGGCGGGCGCGCTGCGGGCGGGGCGCGGGGGGTCGGCGGTGCCTCACGGCCCGTCCCGGGGTCCCCTCGCGGGGTCCCCTCACGGTCGGTGCCCCCCCCCCCCCCCGCGCCGGCACAAACAAACCCTCTCGGCGACCGCCGCGCACCCGCCGCCGCCGCCTCCTGCCAATCACAGCGGCACGCGCCGCCCGCCCGCCAATCAGCGCCCGCCCGGCGGCGCCGCGGGCCAATGGGAGCTCGGGGAGGCACATGCCCGCCCCGCCCACCCCGCTGCTGTCAATCACCCGGTTCGCTGGGGGCAGGGACACGCCCCCCTCGGCCGCCCGCGGGTCACGCCCACGGGGCTGTCAATCAAAGTGATTGACGGCGGCCCCGCCACGCCCCCTCGGCCGGGTCCTAGAGCCCGGTGTTAAACTGAGCTTAATTAGCGAACTGTGAATTATTAACGGAGCTCAATCAATCCTTTCCAAATCTCAATATATTTAGCACTGACGCACTAAGCGATTTATCAAGGGTAATTCCGAATCTATGATTTCTGTCTATTTTTGAACTTTGGGGTAATAAACTATTTTTGACTTTGGGAAACTCTCAGTGGAAGTTCTGGGAGAGACTCTTGAACATCAAATTCGGGCTCCTAAGGCCACAGCTTCCAAGTATCATGGAGGAGGGACAGGTCCCGAGCTCTCTGACCCTGCTGGTTTCTCTCCTCACAAGCAGAGCTTGGCAATGAGTTTAATTGCTGCTTTCAAAGCACCTTTTTAAGAGGGGGAAAAAAACCAAAACCAAACCCAGTCCAAGAGTGATAAAAAGGCCCCCAAAATTCTGAGAGCAAGATTCTTTTGGTGTCCAAAAAAAAAAAGTGACACAATTACCCAGAGCATCACCCAGGGCACCTGTGGCAAGAGATTTCTCTTCTAGGAGCTGTTCAAACCTGGACAATGTCCCCAGGCCCACGGGTCATTCCCACTCCCTCAGGGCCTGAAATAAGTGACAAATGTCAAAGTAGCAGAATAAACAAACAGCTTTTCTGCTTTTTAAGCCTTCAAACCCCCTGTTTCATTTCCTCCACAGTCTTGTTTCTAAGCCCTGCAATCACACACTGTGTCTGTTAAAATCAAGCTCTGGCTCCAACCTGCAGCAGTGACCTCCAGCCTGGTGTGTTTAGAGTTCAGCATTTCCTCCCCTTTCATTTAGGAGTTTATCTTAATAAGAAAGTGTTTTTGCTCTCAGGAGTGGAACTGCTGACCTGCCACATTCACTCACTTGATGATGATTTTTTTTCAGCTTTAGCATTTTGCTTTGACCAGCCAATTTGAACACAGAGACCACAAGCAGAGTATATTATTGCTAAAAAAGTGACACTAAATACAAACAACTTTGAGGAGGAAAACCCCCCCAAACAAACCAAACACAACAGATTTTCATAGATTTTAGGGCAAAGGGCTGATTGGCCAATCTAACTCAGGAATTCTACTCAAAATTCATAGAATCAGGAATGGTTTGGGCTGGAAGGGACCTTAAAGATCATCTTGCTGCACTCCCCTGCCACGGGCCATGTTTAAATCAAATCATACCTTCTAAAGTGACATCCAGCCTCCAGCTGCTCTTTCCCAGCTCCTGCTCCCATCCCACCTGTGGGCTGATGTTTTCACAGTGTCTTTTCCACAAAAGGAACAGCAGAAGGGGTTTGTTGTTCTAAAAAGAAGCCCAGCCCTGGTTCCCTGGGGCGGCCAGGGCCACCCTGCTGCTGGGAAACCCACCTCGAGCAGATGTTTTAGCAGCTGCTTTTCAATCTGGCAAAGGTCTGGCAGCAAGTGCAGGGCTTTGGGAGGGTTTTTTTTTTGCTCACAAACAACACAGCAGCAATGTCACAGGGGTTACAGCAACTGGATAAGCCACATTTCTTCTCCAGCCAGGAGAAGGGAACTAGATTGGAGAGGGAAATGGCTCAAAGGTGTGGGCAAGTGAAGGAATCTAAATCCACTCACCAGGAGGAATTTGGGACTTAGCCAAAGCATGACAGCATTGTGTGTGATATCATGGATTTTTTTGTATTTTTTTTTTTTTAAGTGTCTAGATGGGGTAATAAAAGGATCTCATGGTGTCATAGCAGGTAGACATGGAAATGGGTGAAGGAATGCTTTGATCCACAGATTGAGCCTCGGAGAGGAAGAAGCTGTGGGAAAAGCCAATAATCTGACTTTGAATCATGGAATATCCTGAGTTGAAGGGGACCCACGAGGACCATCCAGTGCAACCCCTGGCCCTGCACAGACACCCCAACAATCCCCCCCTGTCCCTCAGAGCGTTGTCCAAACCCTCCTGGAGCTCTGGCAGCCTTGGGGCCGTGCCCACTGCCCTGGGGAGCCTGGGCAGTGCCAACCACCCTCTGGGGGAAGAGTCTTTCCCTGAGATCCAACCTGACCCTGCCCTGGCACAGCTCCAGCCCTTCCCTGGTCCTGTCCCTGCTCACCCAGAGCAGCTGTCCTGCTTTGGGCAGAAGGTTGGACTCCATGACTCCCACAGATCCCACTCTGAAGTTTCCATCTCAAAACCAGGCTGATGCTGTGAGTGTTGATACTTCTCTTTTTCTTTAGTCCCTCCTGTCCTATTGCTCTGATGCCAGGAAAGCATTTCTAATTTTTTTTGTCTGTTCTATCCCACTTCCATGCCCAGTTTGCAGCCATTTGTTTCCATGTCAAGATTATCCTTTTAATTAAGTAATACTTCCCTCTTCCCTGGAATTGTCTCTCTAAATACATCACAAAGATAATCATATCTCCTTTCAGGCTTCATTGTAATAGAAACCCAGCCACTCTCCCTTCATAACACAAGCTTTGTATTTGTGGTATCCTCCTAGTAGCTTTTTGCCCCTGTTCCAGTTTGAACTCCTCTCTCATTTGACAGCATCATCAGTGATCTTGGAACCACTTTTTGACATTCCTTTTCACAGCTTCATAGTGGCTCATCACCATCCTTTATCAACCACTAAATCCCAGTTTCCTCTCCTCACTGATTTCCAAGTAAAACACTCTCAGTATCCCTCACAAATTCCTCCTTGTCCCTAAATTCCCAGCCTGCTACATTTAATCTCATCTCTATTTCTCACTCTTCAAAGTCATCAGATCTCCAAGATATTCCAGTTCCTTCGAATTACTGAAGCCTCACACTTTTGTTCATCACCAAATTTGATTTTAATTCTCGCTTTTTGTGCCAAGGTCATTATAAAAAGGCTTTTCCTAAGAGAGGGAAGAGCCCACCCCACGCCCTGGCAGGGAGGAATTTAATATCAATTCTCCACTGCACCAGCCCTGATTTCAAACCACTCCATCATCACCTTCCCATTTGATATTTTTGTCTATCTTGCAGCTCTTACATGTTTGCACATAAAATTCTCAGCTGAAGTCCTGTTAAGTGGGACTGACTCCATGTCCTTCATGGAGAAACTCAGTTTATTTAAGTCCAAGAGATATTAGAGCAGCGAGCTGCAGCCTGTGACAGGAGCCAGGAGCTCCCAGCAGATGGTAGGAGACACCCACCCTGGAGAAACTCACTCTTCCCATCCCCAACTGCCCGGGGTGTCTGGATTTCACTGAAGCTTCCCCCCCTCCCCTCTTCGTTCAAATTGAAAATAGAATGATTTGTCCTTAACAGCTCATCACTTCACCCACCTGTCAAGGCTAATGTGTAAAGCAACAATTTTATCTGCTGGTTTCCCCATTTTCCAGACATTCTCCCATCACTATCTACATGAAGTGCCATCAGGACTTTTTTTGGACCACTACAGACCCTCACACCCTTTTTTCCCCCCCTTACAAGCTGGTAGATCCTTGCTGAGCAGGAATCCAACTTTCTACCAAAATAGGCACCCCTATTTTGTATAACCTGAGAAAAAAAAAAGTGTAATTCCTTTTTCACCTTAATGCTGTACTAGTTTTGTGCATAATCACAGAATCCCAGGATGGTTTGGGATGGAAGGGAGCTTAAAGATCACCCAGTCCCACCCCCTGCCATGGGCAGGGACACCTTCCACTAGCCCAGGTTGCTCCAAGCCCCATCCAACCTGGCCTTGACCTTCCAAAACTGCAGCTTTCCAGCAGAGAAGTTTCACTCCTGTAAACAGCAGCTACAGAACATACTTAACTCTCCTGTTTATTCAGATTGTTTGAGGCCATTTAATGTAAAATCATCAGTAAAGATGTTCATGGAGACTCTCCAGGAGCTCCTACATTTCCAGGCAGCCCATTTGTTTTAAAAGAACTTTATAGAGGCCTAATGGTTCAATGCTGTCACGCAGCATCAAGGAAGAAAAGGAAGTGTAATCCCTATTTTAGGGATTTAAGGGCATTGCACAGAGAGACAGTGACTCGTTAAAACTTACACAGGAAGTCTGGAGTAGACCTTTGGGATTTAACTCCTGGCATCTTCCCCCAGTGTCTTAATCACTCTGCCATCGTCTTATTTTCTATTTTGGTAGTATTTCCATTTGCTGAAGTGTACCTGACTCAAAGAGCCTCTTTTCCTTGCTATCAGATGTACTATTTCTTCTTTCCTTCCTGTTTCCCTTCTTGTTTAGGTAGACACATCCTTCCTGAGGAGCTGAGCAGGCTCCAGGCTCCTTGTCCCATGCCAAAACTTCCTTATTCTACATCTTGGACTCCACAGCCAGAGAAAGTGGGGGAGGAGGAGAAACCCTGTCAATAGAATCAGAGAATCCCAGAATGGTTTGGGTTGGAAGGGACCTTAAAGCCCATCCAGTGCCACCCCCTGCCATGGGCAGGGACACCTTCCACCAGCCCAGGTTGCTCCAAGCCCCGTTCAACCTGGCCTTGGACACTTCCAGGGATGGGGCAGCCAATCTTCAAAGGATGCATGGAAGCATTCTGCACTCTTTTCTGCAGATCTGAGTCATCTCACTGATGCCAGGCAGTTCTGCTTCTCCCAGCACTTCCTTGTCGTGTCCTCAGCTTCAAAAACAGAGTTAATGGAAAAACTATCACTGCTATCCAAATTCAGGGCAGTGTGGCAGGAGATATGTTGGCCAGAACTCTCCTCCAGCACATCAATCATGAGAAAATCCTT